GTTTTGCATAAACATCAAGAAATGCAGTTCCCACAGACATGCAGTACCCACTTTTTGCATAAACATCAAGGAATGCAGTTCCTCTATCAGCCTTGACGGAAAAGGCATGCAATTGCCTACACAAAACAACACGTAAATTCGCTACATGGGCTTCCTTCTCCTCGCATTTCCAAGAAAATATCAAATGTCCCTTTCCCCCTATCCGTTCTGTATACAAGTACCAATCATCGTATTCCATGAAACCGCACATCTCTCAGGTATTTCATCAAACACTTTGCAAGCAGTACGAATTAAACCACACTTCCAGTACACTCTCATTAACATATTTGATGTTAAGGTCTCTGTTTCTAACCCCAATCCAATAACTTGCTCAAGGCAGGCCGTCCCTTTAACGGGTTCTCGATTTTTTGCACAGAAATGTAATAAAGAATGCAACTTTATACCTTGATGGCCTCGAAGAAAAGGTCTTGTTGGGTTATTATATCAGGTTTTTGGTAGCATTAGCTACGGAACAGGACTCTTTGTTGTAATCAATAAAATTGCAATTGTATCTCCTCTTGTTGCATATGGTCCCTAGATATTTTAATGTTCTTGCAAGGGAGGTGTCTTCATTTCTTCTTTCTTGTGGACCAGACATGTTTTCTTTAGGTAAGGGCGAGAGAATTTGAATGGGTCAGAAGAAGGCCTTAAAAACTGGGCTTTGCTGGGTGAACAATGTTCTTCGTTTTTTCAATTGCATCAGCCCGGTTCCAAATTTTTCACATGAAATTAAACAAAGAAAATGATTTTTCCTTCCTTTGTTCTGGACAACTGAGAAGGATTTAGAGGTGGCTGGTAAGATAAGATGGTAACTATCTTCTTCATTACATCTTTGGATAGGAGGATTGGATTCCGGCCATTATGAATATCAGGTTTCAAGATTAAGTTTGCAACCAGTGTAATTTTGACATTCTAGTAGCTTTGATTTTTAAAGTTTCTGGCTCCCATGCAGATGCTACAGATTGCAGATTGAAACGGCAGCATCTGTTTTTCTATGATTTATTTCCTGTTTTTAGTATCAGGGGTGAATAATAAGTTGGGGTGTGTGGGCGTCACCATCGTGATATGATAAATGTGTATTATAAAAAAATTATTAATATTTGGTTAGATTTTATGGGTGGTTCCAGATTTACTATTAATTCATGTCATATAGTTCTGTTTTCATATTATAAAAATAAAAGCTTAAACTGTTGAATCACCATTTATTTGGTGTGCTTTTAACATTCTAGTAGAGTTTTGTTGTGGTGGATGTTATAGTGACATGATGAAATCTATCTTTTTAGGGTTTATTTCTTATTTTTATTGTCAATCATGAGTAATAAGTTGGGGGTGGGGACACCTTCTGGTGTGGTAAATGAATATAATGAAAAAATTATTAAAGTTCTTCGAATTGTTAAGATTTTTTTTGGGTGGTTTAAGATATATTATAAATTTATATTACGTATTTTTATTTTCAAAAATAAAAACTCACTATTTAAGGTTGTTGGGACCATGTTCTTTCTAGTTTCTCTTCTGCTATAATATTTATTAAGAATTGTTGTGGGTTTTTCACAACAAAAATGCTGATTAATTTGTTTTTGATTAAAAATATATTAAATTAATATTTTTTATGTATTTTTCAATGATTTTAATGTATTGATATTAAAAAATATATATATGATATATTTTTAATTGAATAACACTTTTAAAAAAGTATTATACACTATAAATATCATCAAACTCAATAAAATAATTTAAGTTTTTTTTAAAAAAAAACCTTTGGATAATTTATAAACAATAATTTAATAACCTATGCCTTGTCATGGTATTTAAGATCACATGAATTTAAGTGGACATGGAAAAATCAAGATTTTATCTCCGAGAGAGAGCACTGAAAATATTTTTGTGAAGAAAGAATCTCATTTACAAGGAATTGCGTGTCATTCGAGCAAGTTGATGCTAGTTGGACACAAAATGTTCTTTAAGACGATGGAGACAGGAACATAGGCGAGGACCGACACAGATTATCATGCTTGCATGGCAAATAAACACTGAAGAGGCACAGGGGGGCCCAGGAAACTAAGACAAAAATCTGCAAAATCACCGAGGCACGAATTTTGTGGACCCTCGTGTTTTTTCTATGAAAGTTGCTTGACCACGACTCTCTCATTCTTTATCCTCCGATTTTTATAACTCCTGCTTGCAGAATGCCTGTAAAACCACACAAGTGAGGCTGGATTATCTCTCGGTAGGAGAAGTCTTTTCACAGGATCATCACCGAGAATTAAACGGAAAGTCACTACCAAGGGGCCAAATAAGAGATGTTCCAGCTAGCCCCATGATCATCTATCCTCACCCCCTCTCCTTGCTAATAGCAAGTCGTGGCGACGAGCGAGCATCTCATGATTTTTGTGGCTGGGATAGTGATAGCACCACTCAGACTCTCGCAGCAAGTCTCTTGTTTAAAGGTTGCGGTGATTGGGACTGTGGTATAAAATGTTTTTTTAAGTAAATTTTTAGTTAAAAATATATCAAAATAGTTTCTTTTTATTTTTATTTTTGATATCAATATATTAAAAATATTAAAAAAAAAACATCAGTTAATTACCAAGTTAGAAGCAAAAATCATATGAAACATCCCATGGGAATTCACGTGCTATGCAAACCCTAATGGGAATCTTAAATCAATTTTAATGGTGGAATAGGAAATGGGAAAGAAATTTAAAACGATGGGACAAAATGCGTCCTCCAACTATTATTCCATCTTGATTGAGTCCCGCTACAAATGATTACCACGTTGAATATACCATGTAAATAGAAGTTATAATTCCTTTGACCCTGCCATGGCGTCATCAGTTTGTTCATCTTCTAGAATTTAACTAGATTATGGGTAATTGGGTAGTATCTAATTAAACAGACAACTTGGTTTTTGAGATTTATTTCTGAGGGCATATTCATCATCTCCCCTCCTCCCCTAACATATATTTATGTCTAAACTCGGGAATAATTACAAAAAATCTCCTAAGGTTCGACGCGTTTTCAAGTACAAAATGTTTTAAATACAACAAAATGAATAAATTACTCTTATATATATATATATATAAAGACTAAAGACAAATTATATCCTCCTCCATCTTCTTCTTCTCTCTTGGAGCGACATTTTTTCTTCTCTATCAGAAAACTTCTATATCTTTTTAAACCAAAATGGACTGGTTTTTCGCAGGATTTCTTTGTTTAGGTGTTGGTTTATCTTTTCACACCCATTATTAAACCTCAAAATCATTCCGTTGGCAAGTGAAATGTTCAAACTTAAGATAAGCGTAATTACATTGACCAAGTTGAAGTTGATTCTCGTTCATGTTTTCTTCTTTGAAAATGAAAATCACATGATTTGTAAGAACATAATTTTACAAGAAGGTGACGTTATTCTCTTTTACGATTAGTTCACATGATTGTTTTTAAAGATGTGACTGATGCATACTTCTTTATCTTTATGGCAAAATCCATTGACGCAACATGACCTCGAGGAATATATTTTAACTTTTGACAGAACAATAACAGTTCAACATGACCTCGAGGAATATATTTTAACTTTTGACAGAACAATAACAGTTCAACATGACCTCGAGGAATATATTTTAACTTTTGACAGAACAATAACAGTTCAACATGACCTCGAGGAATATATTTTAACTTTTGACAGAACAATAACAGTTCAACATGACCTCGAGGAATATATTTTAACTTTTGACAGAACAATAACAGTTCAACATGACCTCGAGGAATATATTTTAACTTTTGACAGAACAATAACAGCTCGAAGAACTGTTTATTCTCTGGTTAGAAAAGGGAAAAAGGGAGCAGTGCAGAGTGTGAAAGAATATAAGCATGGCGTCATGACTTCGAGATTTTAGTGGAAATTAACCACACAATTGCGACCACCCACTCCCTGCTGCAGGCATCCACTGCCCTTGATCTTCAAGATGCTCTGGAGCACAATTCTCATCGCAAATTGACCCCTCAGAAAGATCCCAGAAGTGAAAATCAGATTTTGTGATCTGTCAAACCATCTCACTTTTCTTGATAGAAAATGAAGGTTGATGACAATTCAGGTATTCTAGTATGGACAAGGATTAGAGGAGAATCAAGTTAGAATTAAACCCTTATCAACAACGAAAGAAAAATGGCTTTTCTTTCCATAGTAGTTTTTGTGTTACAACATGTCTTGTCAATCGCTTTATTCCTCAAAAAATATAAATTTATGTGTTTTTAGATGGTTTTGATTTGTTAATATTAAAAATATAAAAAATGCTATTTCAATTAAAAAAAATGTTTTTATAACAACAATAACAAGGTGAGGACAAAGTTTTGTGGATGAGAATGAAAAAACAGGTGCAAATTGACTCATGCAGTAGACAAAAAGGATTCGGTAAGGACATGGAACCAATAGTTGGCCCATAATTCTTTGTTTCCATGTTTATTTTGTCACAAGGCATGGCCTTTTGCTTTTATTTTCCCTTCTCTTTCTTTTTATCGTGGGAGAGAAAATCGCTGGCCAGTCTCTAATTAAGACAGAGATGATTAGATTGGAAAGTTGAAATAAAGGTGCTAATCCTTGAAAGAGAGAAATTTCTCCCAAGGATTAGTTCACCTACGAGTCTACCCTAAACCCTAACTGGGACTCTCAGCTTGATCATCATGCTTCTTGCAGTCAGAAGAAGATGAGAATCAACTCCATGACTATCTTCTACCCTGTAATAATCGGACATGATTTGACCTAGGTTAAGCTTTCATCGAGGCCAGGAAAGAAGTGATAGGACATGGGAAATTGTCCTTTTCAATCAACCATCGACAGCGTGGTTCCAACTTTTATCCATTACATTTGCCAACCACTTATTCAAGTGAATATTCAAGTGAAAGAAGTTTTTTGGTAATTGTCAATTTGTAATTAATTAGCCAATCAACGTCAATAATCATCAAACCATGCAAAGCATCTTGCCCTTTTCAAATTGACATCGTATCCACCTTCCTCTCGAGAACCATTTCTTTGAATCGATCCATCAAGCCATCGAGATCATCCAAGTATATTTTCTACAAAATCCCACTTTTTATTCAATGTCAAAATCCCTTTTATTCAACAATAATGCTTGGATTTTAGTTGAGAAAACACAAGGGGATTGACTTCTATTCCTACTCCCATTTACCAGCTATACAAGGTAGCGACTCCTGCAAAATTGCACAATTCTTTATTCTATCCTATGCCCTCCTTTTTTCTTATCCATCAATCGCTCAAAAAGTAGAAGTCATTACCAAGATAAAAGGTAAAGAGAAAGGAGAGATTTTTACACTTTGAAAGAATTATGGTCCTCACTCTCGTCTGATTCCCTCGTAGTCTCGCCATTCTTTTGACCGATAGAGCCTCCCCCTTCAGCATCAAAGCTAGCGTGGACACTGTACAAAACATATACAAGCACAGCGAGAGCTGAAAAGAAGACGAAACGCACGTATGATGGACCATCAAGAGACCCCAACAGGAATATGTTCAAGAAGATAGATGCACATGGTATCCATGGCATCAATGGAACACCCCAAAATTCAGGTTTTCTTGCCTGTGGCACAATGCAATGAAAGATCTGTATTATTGCAATCGCTATCACCGCGCAAGCACCGAGCATAAGGGCTTTTCCCTTGCCATTAGGCATGAAATGCCATATGAGAGTGAATAGAATAGAGGTGAAGGAAATTGAACACAGGAAGGATAATGTCGGCCATGGGTTAGTCGTCCCTATCGCGACGTAACGCCTGTAAACCAAAGCACTGGCCACCATGTAGAAGACAAATAGCGTGCCTATTGATACAAGGTTGAGGAGGACATTTAAATCAGTGAACAGCGCAATTGCTGCAGTGAAGATTCCTGAAAGAGAATCATTCCACGTGATTAAGAAAACACAAGGCATGAAATTTACAAGTTAACTTATATATTAAAAATAATCGATAAAAAGACGTACTAAACCCAAGATCAACTATCCATATCTATCATGCATTTAAAGAAATTTCACCAAATACCCTACATAGCAGCATAATTATTAAACTAATGACTAATTTGAGAAAGATCTAGTTATCGAGTCAATAATTTTTTCATTTTTCAGTTCAACTTGAAATCTAGCTTGGATTAAGTTCGGAATCGTAAGTTTTTCGAGCAAATACAACTGTAGTGTTTATTTTTAGGAAAAATAAACACATGCAATTATTAGTTGTTTGGAAAACAGGGGATGGATTGGTGATTGGTTCATGTCTTGGCCATCGAGTGTACATAAACAAATGCTGCTGAGATCTAGCCCATATATATCTATGTAAATGCTAGGCATGTGCTCTCTTCAATCCATCCACTTCTTTTCAGAGACGCATATTAAATCCTGCCTAATCTGTTTATATAAACATGATTCACATCTCTTTAGAAAAGATTTGTAGTCTCCAAGAAGACTTTTGGTATTTCTTAATTAAACAACAAATCCTACTTCCAGAACTTGTAATTAACCAAGTAATGCAAACAAAAAGGACTACGCAGTACCGAAAGAACCAAGACAGACCCCATTTGGAGAACCTAATAAGCATGCCCACGCGTCCTCTTCACTTTCTACAAAGCAGAGGCATGCCAATTTGGCTAGTACTGAGGTCCAACTAGGAGTCTCTAAAACACCATGAGACGAAGGGCAAGTTCCTCGTAAAGTTTTCCTATTAGGGATGCCCTTGGATGTACTTAGCCTCGATAATTTTCCGGGAAAAATATTTGTCCAAGCTTACGCCCACTGTGAAACAACCAGATAATGTCAAATCTAAGCATTTCTTTAGAGACATGCATGGCTGTATCCTAGTCACAACAAGAAGGCAAAACGGCTACTGCTAATTAATGGTCCATATATCTACCAGTGATTTGGGATGCAACATTAATCAAAACATAAATGCACCACCACCGGCAAAACCGAAACGTTTCAAGTAGGTCCCGTGCCCCCAGCAGCTTATCTTCGAGAACAAACTACAAAACACCAAAGATAATGCCACGAACGCAATGTCATAACCCGAAAAGCGTCCCGAAATAGGGTGGAGGTCATCAAGCTGATTCGGAAATAGCATTTGTTTTATTCAAACATTTATCCAATCAGTTTAATCAAATCTAATATCTTATACGTATAATTGTGGTTTTAAGACTATCTCGTTACAAAACCCAAACAGGAAACACACCAATTTTTATTTTTTGGTCGTGAGCACCAAAAGAAGAGAAAAAAATAAAAATAAAAAACAACATCGAGCCCAGTAAAAGCTATGGCAAAGAGCTGTATCATTTCTTCACAGGAACAGGAAAATTTCCAATGAAAACAAGCAACAAGAAGATAAAAACACGTACCTAGAAATGCGGAAGCATTAACAGGCGTTGATGTCTTCGGGTGGACCCTAGCAAACCAAGCAGGGACAACACTGGACCGTCCGATCACACACAAGTATCTAGCTTGTCCCAACATTGCAACTAATAAGGATGTAAGAATTCCAAAGCTGGCCCCCGTCCCTATCACATTAGAAACCCATTGCCAGCCATCTGATTCGCCTCTGAATGCTGCCGAGAATGGTGCGTCCACATCTATCTACATGGTCGCAAGCACGCCCGATTACAAGAACATTCCAGTTACTTATAATTAATTTGTAGTAGCATTAAATTAGATATCGTTCTGATTGATTCATCGGTAATTACCATATCATAAGGGAGGAGCATTGACATTGAAGCAGCCATGAGGCAATAAAGAATGGTGACAATTATAACAGAGCCTGAAACTCCGATGGGGATATCCTTAACAGGGTTATGGACTTCTTCAGCTAGAGTAGAAACAGCATCATATCCAATATAACTCAAATACACCATGGCTGCTCCATTGAACACACCAGGAGCTCCAAATGGGAAAAACCCAGATGGGTTGTTTGGGTTTGCAGGCTGTGTGAAGTTTTTCCAATCTCCTTTCCAAAATCCCATTAGTATCACAAATCCAATGAACAAAATGTGTAGAATTGTTAACAACATGTTCACCAATGAACTCTCTCTTGTGCTACAAAACAAGAACAAGCTAATCAAATTTAGTACGCGTAAGCTGGTCTAATGAGAATACGCTGAACATTAAAAAAAACAAACAATAATGGTACCTGTAGCAGATGATGAGAGTAATGGCTAAGACAACAAGAACCGCGAAAGTGTCAATTTCATTGAAGCCATCAGGGAGTCCATGGATGACAAGTCTCCATTTTGATGTAGAGATGCCGATTGCTGAGCCTAGATAAGCAGTGAAGCCCCTAGCAACAGCAGCGTTTGACAAGACATAATCCATTATAAGATTTGCACCGGTTAAGAACGCAGCAAATTCACCTGTTCAGGAAAAGAAGAAAAACCCCGTGAGCATTTATGCTGGTAGAGCAACAGCTCATTGACAATACATTAGTGGTTGTAGCGGACCAAAAGTGACACGGAGATAACTGAAAGCCCCGCCGGCGACGGGCATGTCAACGGCAAACTCGGTGTAACAGAAGGAAGAGAGCAGAGCACAGAGACCAGCAATGGCATAGGAGATAACAACTGAAGGGCCAGCGCGGAGACGGCTGGCATGACCAGTGATGACGAAAACACCAGCACCAACCATACCACCGATGCCAAACCCAACAAGGTCATACCAACGAAGAGTTCTTTGCATGACAGAACCAGACCTTGCTTTGACCTGGCTCATTTCTTCATGCGATGTTGAGACTGAACAAGCTCGCCTGGCTAGACGGGATGGGGTCTGTGCCAGGGCCCGAAAGTAAGAGTCCAAGCCAGAGAAAGAGGAGCCATGGCTCTCCATTGGTAGAAATTCTTCTTTGAGTGCTATTTTGTATCTCTTTCTCTAGCTACCGCGTTCGTGCAAGGAGAAGGGGAGGGGAGGGGAGTTATAAAGGGCTGAGACTGCCAATGGACGGTGAATAAAAGGGCTTCAAGCTTTTCTCTCTGTTTTTTTTTTTTTTTTTTTTTCCTGCTCAGTAACTCCCATGTGTCAATCAATTTCCCTTGCTTTGTTCTGTGGTATATCCACTATCCAGTTGGCTGTAGTTCGAGTATGTTTGTGGATTGATTTTGTAACGTGTGTATGCATGAACATTGATAAGTAAAGGTTGAGAAAACAAGGGTGTTCAATGTATTTTATAAATCGGATTCTGGATTAAATCTTAATAATACTTACATTCTGTTTATCATTTTCATCAGGTAAAACAAATGATTTAGAAAACCCATTCAGCGATGCTCATGAAAATCAGGCTTGGATGGAATTTTCATACCAGTCGGGACCGATATCCACGATCTTGGCCAGAGACGTCCAGGAGGACTGCACTAGCTTTTCCTTTGTTTAAGACATTAATGACACTTTTCGTGGAAAGACATGTCTGAAACCCATAAAACGACAAACTCTAATAAATCTTCCCAGCTATTTTAAGGTACTGCTGATATGCAAGCCATGAAATCTCCTTTTCAGGGGAGAAAACGTCATTCGGTATTATAAATTTAGTTAAATGTTTCTGAATACGTAGATTAGAAAATACTGTTTTATATAATTCTTTAAAGTCTAAATCTATTACAATGATATAAAAACAAGCAAACTATTTATTTGAGCCACCAACTCAAAGAAATCACAAAAGCAAAAGCACGAATAAGAATCAAGAGTTATTCCATGCTATCACTTTTCTACTGAAAATTTGCACCATAAATGTTCATGGTGGATTTCAGTCCAGACATTTGAATTTTGAACGTAACCTCCCGAGCCAGTTGAAACGGACCGGGAAGGAAACATGCGGACGACACCAGCTCGGCAGAGGAATAGCAAGACGTCACAGTTGAACCAGAACGGGGTCAACGAGCCAGATGGTGGTGCCGACGGGTTCCTGACTGCTCATGTGCTAGAAGGCACGTGGCCCTGTAGAAGGCAAGTCACTTTGCATTTAGAACCCACAACGACACGTGTAGGAGATGAAAAGGCAAATCTTCGGGAGATAAGCATGGATTTAACGCAGGAAAAAGAAGACAGGCGACTTGCTGGCTGGCACGAACATGAATACGAGTCACCAAGAGGGTACTCATGTAAGATATTTTTAAAAATAATTTTTTATATTAGTATATTAAAATTATAAAAAAAATAAATGTTTTTTAAAACTAAAAACAATTTTAAAAAGCATATAGAAACCACGTTAAACATCCAAAACGTGAAAGCAATAAACTTTATAGAATTTTGTTTTTTTAATGTTAAATTATCAATTTAGGTGTGGATAAATTAAACTCAAGACTCAACCATTATTAAAATTTGAAAATCGGTCCAAGACTGCGTTGATCTCTTAAATGTGTGAAGTGAGATTAAAGAAAACCATTCCACATAAAAAGTAAAGCGAGATTCACGAAAATTATTCCATGTAAAGAAATTAAAATGTATTATTTTTTATATTTAATCGAGAATTACGAGACTTTTATGATAAAAAAAATGAAATAGATAATTTTTATATTCTTCACAGTAGCTAAAAATAATTTTAAAAAGTTGGACTGCTGATTAAAATTTATTCTCCTGGGAGATCCAGACATTAAAACTAGCATTAGATTAAATTATTGGATTATTTTGAGCCGATTAACTGATACAAAATACACTCTTAGAAACTATTTAAATTAATCCAAAAATGATTTTAATGTTAAAAAAAAAAGGCTGACGCAAAAGTATATATATAGCTTGTGCACAAGTGGTTAACCAGTGTGCACCCTCTGTCCGAAAACGGATAAAATCATCTGCGATCCTCCGTGCAGCCTTATGTCAGGGCAGCGAGGGGGGGCCTGCACCTAAGCCATGGCTCTCTAGCACGGGCACGATCTTAATTTCTTATCAGTCCATCCATGACCATCCAAAGAGTCCTTCGATTTGGGTCCACGGCTGGTTCCCACAAAATCGCCATGGATAGTTTTTTTCTCTAGACCCCCGATGCTCCTGCTTGTATCCACGTCGACCACCCTTCCCCTCCGGCTGGAAATTGGAATTCAAACCCTTTCTAACTTCCAAAGGCTAGTTCAATAACGTAGTCAAGACCATTATAATCATGCCTCACTGTGCGATGGTGGCTCGGCCAAACTCCACATGTATGGTCCTCTTTCCGACTATAATGTTATTAAAGATCATTATTAATTCGACAATGGAAGGTATACAAAACATTTGTTAGATTACGGTAGGGACACATAATTTTCGGTAACCAAGATTATTTTATATTATGCTGCCCAAAGAGCTCGGTGTTGGTTCTTGGTAACACGAGGTATACATCCAATGAATAAAATAAACTCGGGTGTTTTCTTCGAAGAAACATATTCCATAACAAATTATTTTAGCCCATGCATTGTCTGCCATCAAGAGTAGCAAGACCACAGATATTGACTTAACCTGATTCGGTTGGCGGATACCCATATGACGTAGCTATTTGAAGGAGGATTACTACACTATTTAGAATTGCGTTTCAAACATGTTTCATGAATTTTTAAGTATTTTCTACCTCGGAGGAATCAATCACTTCATTACCAATGTTTTGGATCCGAAAATCTCAACTTCTTCACCTCCTTGTGGCTTTCTTTTCCATAAAATGATGGTGAAATTCAATGCATTTATGCCTATGTTCCTTAACCAACACCTCAGCAGCTGTAGCACTAGGACCCCATGACTTCGTTCAAGCCCTATCCCTCTCCTGCCGTTTAAGCCAGCCCATTTGGTTTGCATGATTGGTGCACGGTTCGCTTCCATTAAATATTTTGATGTTTTGACAGAAGAACCATAGGCTCGAACTTCGTTTATCCTGGTTTAAATTGCCACCTCTAAAATCATAGCCATCAGGCCCACGTCTCATGCTTTTGTGATTTACATTCCCTGGGGAAGACGGCTTGGCCCATTATAATCCATCCGACCCAATGCGAGGTCCACTGGAAAAGCATTTCTGATGACCCACCAGCTGCGTGATGCCTGCATCTCTATCGAAATGGACCTGCCGTTGTGATTTTACATTGACAGTGGAGTTATTCTACAATAATCCCGACAATACCTCGATACAAAAATTCATCATTTATGTAAAAACAAACCTAGTTTTATTTATGATAATAATAAAGGAAGTAACAATCTGATTGAAACTTTTATAACTACCTCGACATAGATTTTTATTTCACTGCCGTCCTTTGCGTGAACTGAATGCCCAAAGCTTATTCTGATTCGAAATACGCATCACACAATGTTTCATTGACTTAGAATAGTTGCTTCCATGACCTGATTTGATTCTATGTTTTTTCGTCATCTTTCTCGAGTCTAGAAATACAATCTTTCATACATGGATGTCGTTTTTCTTACTAATACTCAGCTTAGTGGATTTATTTTATGATTACCTTAATACATAGAAATACATCTGATGTATCTGATAATTAATTAAACTTTTAATTCAAATAATATATTTTTTTGTTTTCAATCAAGGTATTTGATAACTTATATAAAAAGCTTAGGTGATTGATAGTAAAAAATAGATTATGTTTGTTAAGTCAAGGTAACTTGTCCTTGTAAAACGTTAATAGATATATAGGGATTTTCTAAAGTTTAAATCGATAATTTTGTAGAAAGAAGAAGTGAGTTGCAATATATTTAAAACAATACGTGTAGAATTAATATAAAATATCAAGAAATCCACATTAAATCTTATAAAAATTCTAAAAGAAGTGTCAAGTTCGGGTAAAATATCTAACTCACTAGAGATTAAGAGTAAGTCTAAATCTACTGCTTGAATCCAAACAGACTTGAATCAAAACACAGTAAGTTTTAGCATGATGACCCAAGCTGACAAAGGGGCTGGGGTGCATGCCTGGCCTCGTACGGGCATGCATGCCCTGCATGGGTGCATGGGCTTGGAATACTTGCCGAGTCCATGCTCTTGCATGTTTATTAAGCTTGTTTTTTTTTAAAAAAGGTTTCTTGCACATATTTTATTCAGATAGATCACTTTTGGATCTCCACTATACATTTGGTGATTTTAAAACAGATAAAAGTAATGGAAGAAGAGCATCATGCCGTCACCATTGCTAGCCCCAAGATTCAACCACCATGAGCAAATTAGAGATGTATGAGGGCGATCTGGGATGGTTGGATGAAATAGCCAGCGAGCCATATTTTCAGAGCCATCTACAACCCAACTGTTAATTCTTTTGAGGTTGGACTCGGTTTTAGGCATGAATTCCATTGCACTCGAGTTGAAAAGTTTCAGTGCAAAAAAAAAAAAAAACTAGTTTGCCGTGGAGACAATTTATTCAAGCTTTATCAATTTCATAATGTATTAATATTGATAATTGTCTTGCCGAACCCAACTTGAAGGTATATCTGGAGAGTAGTCTAACTTACGAGGTCTTTAAATCAACCATAAATTATTAGATTAAATAAAGTGAATTGTTTTTAATAAATTTAAAAGGTTTGGTAATTTATTAATATTGATAATTGACGTAACGAATGACGACATCATTAAAAAATCAAAACTGAATGTGATGGTGGTGGGGGGTTATTCTATCCCTTCATGGTTGCTTGTCTAAAGAATGGCCACTATATATATATAGATAAAGAAATCCCTCGCAATGGTAATGTAAATTTGGTTTTGGAGGCATTAGTTAGAAGAACAAACAAGATCCGTTGATATCCGCTACCTGTCAAATCAATGTCGCGAAGCCCACTTCGAACTAAGAACTTTAAGCTTTTGAAAGTTGAATATATTTACACACACACACAGATACACGCGTGGGAAAGTACTGTATCGTTAACACAACACTGTCTTTTTTCTTTTCTTTTCTTTTCTTTGTTATTTTTTCTTTGTATTTCTTTTTTTTTCCTTTTTTCCCCTTTTTTCCCCCGCATTTTTTTTCTTTTTTGGCTTTACATGTTTTATTTTTTATATTCTTTTATATTTTTCTTTAAAATTATTTTTTTATATTTTTTTAATATTAAAAAATTTTGTTATGTGATTTTATTTTTAAAATATTATGGATTATTACAACATTTCTCTAATTTTTTTTCTTTTGTAGTGAATTTTTTTATTTTTTTAAAAAATGATATTTGTCTATTTTACTTCCTAATTTTTTTTAAAAAAATAATGGATTGTTATCGTGTTTTTTCATATAATTTTTGTTTTATTATAGTGTTTTTCCATGTGTATTTTTCTAAAATTAAATTTATTATTTTTTTAATATTGAACTGGTTGAGAAATTACCACGTGTTTTTTTTTAATTTTTTTGTGTTTTTTAAATTTTTTTATTGATTTTACTTTTAAAATATAGAGTTGGTTGAAGATTTAGCTTTGTAATTTTTTATTTAAAACATTGTGAATTGCTAGATTATTTTTTCATATTTTTTTATAATTTTTTTTGTTTTTTAAAATTATCGTTGTCGATTTATATTATGTAAGTTGAGAATTTAATTTTATAATTTTTTTTAAATACTGTGAATTCCTACAATATTATCTCACATGATTTTTTTTTGTAATTTTTTAAAAATTATTTTTATTAATTTTATTATTTTATAATATTGAGTTAGTGAAGAATTACTACTATAAATTTTTTTAAAAAACACTATAAATTATTACATTATTTTCCTGCATGATTTTTTTATTTTTTTATTAATATTTTTTAAAAAATTTATTTTATTTCTTAAATATCAATCTAATTAAAAACTTAATTTTATAATTTTTTTAAAATGATGAATTACAATAATTTTTTCCATATGTCTTTTACAAATATAACATACAAATATGTCATAAGCCCGCAGCATCGCTGCTGCTTCTGCGTGCGTGCGTGCGTGTTTTATGGGTGGGTGGGGTGCCGACACGTGTTGGAGATATGAAATCGAAGGAACATCACCACACCATTTTCAAAAACGTGGCTTTCAAAATATCTTTTTGTTTTTATTGTTCCTTTAATCATTCATTTTATGCTCTTTTTCTCCAAACACAAGGCAAATGACTCTGTAAGCCTTAGAAATCAAAAGCCGTGGTGTTCAATAGAACTTTCTGAAATTTCAAGCACCATTTGCATAAAACGTCTTTCCGCATTTAATAACATGCACCATACTGCATCACGCTTGTATAAAAAATATTTTAAACAATTTAGATTTAATAACTAAATTAAAATTTAATAAATCTAGATTTGATAATCACATACACCAGTAACTTTTAAAATAAAAGATAAAAAAGTAATAATTTGAAGATCATCTGATGCGATTCATAGTGTAAATATTTTACATACATAGTACTAATACAATGATTTCTTAACACGTTTTAAAGTATAATATAATTAAAATATAAAAAGATAATAATTTAGACATGGATATTTAAAAAAAATATTTATTACATCACTTAATTAATTCAATCAAATAAAAAATATTATTTTAAACAACAAAACTTGACTAGATTAAAATTAAAGATAAACAAAGATTTTATATGACCCAATAATACATGAATTAATATAAAATTTATATGTTTGGTACTGTGGGACGGTTGGAAATTTTTTTGAGAAATTTTTATTTTTTATTTTATTTTAAATTAATATATTTTAATATTTTCAAATTATTTTAATATACTAATATTAAAAATAAAAATCAATTTAAAAAACATTCACACTACCAGAATATACTAACACAGACAACAACTTAAATTTGGCAGCTCTACCGTACCAAACGGATCCTAACTATTCCACTTGCGATATATATATATATATATATATATATATATAGAGAGAGAGAGAGAGAGAGAGAGAGTCGTAGCCAACATATATTTTTTTCATCTAGCTTTGCAAGACAAATAACTTTACAATCCAAGATCTACAGAATCAAATTTTAAAATCATAATAATTTGGTCCATGGAAAGCCATTTCCAAAACAAGAAATCATTATATATTCTTTGCATGTCTTCTTCCATAACACTCTTATCTTTCCACTACCTCTCCCTTCCCTTATCATCTCACAAGTCAAAATGGAAAAAAAACCAGTAATCTCAGCAACCCGATCACTAGCAACTCAGCTTCTCTTCCTCATTTCAAGTATTCTCTTCACGTGCCCTTCGGCCACAGCCCGAGAGCTTCTCGTTGGCTTTAAAGCCAGCCCAAGTTCATCAGTCTCATCCTTTCAATCTCTCTTGAATGACTCAACAAGCACCTTTTCTCTAGGTTTCCTCCGAGTCAACCAAACCCAACTCGCCCTCACAGTCATCCACCTCCCTTCCCTCCAGCCACTCTGGCAGGCTAACCCAACAAGCTCATTTCGTTGGTCAGACAAGACCCAGCTCTTCTTCAATGGTAGTCTTGTGATATCTGATCCACACAAGAGGTCATTTTGGTCCACAGGAACGTCCCAACAAGGTGACAGAGTTGTCCTCCTCAACTCCTCAAACCTACAAATACTACAAAAACAAGAAGTTCTCTGGCAAAGTTTCGATTTTCCCACAAGTACCCTCGTCGAGAACCAGAATTTCACTTCTAACATGTCTCTCGTCTCCTCCAACGGGCTTTACTCCATGCGCTTAGGAGATGACTTCATGGCCCTATACGCCAGGTTCAAAGATGGGAAAACGCAACAAATGTACTGGAAACACAAAGCCATGGAAGCTAAAGCAGAAGTTGTTCAAGGACAAGGTCCGATCCATGCCCGACTCGAATCCGATGGGTTTTTGGGCATGTACCAAGTGGGAAAAACCGCGGTAGATATTCAACCTTTCAACAGCTTTCATCGACCTTTTGACAGATTCCTGATGGTCCAGTTAGAACCGGACGGGAACCTCAAAGGCTATTACTGGGCTCAAACCGCCTGGGTCTTGGACTACCAGGCTATCACTGAAACGTGTGAGCTGCCCAGTCCCTGCGGTCCCTACGGTTTGTGCAGACCCGGGTCGGGCTGCTCCTGTTTGGATAACCGGACCCAGGTGGACACTGCGTCATTTCAGTGCATTGATGGGGATGATCAGTCCGGAGATTTTTGCAGTGGAAGTGATGATTTCTGGGTGCTGAGGAGGAAAGGGGTGGAGTTACCGTTTAAGGAGTTGATGGATTCGGACACAACATCATCGTCTGCGGAGGAATGTGAGCTGTCTTGTCAGAGGAACTGCAGCTGCTGGGGTGCAGTTTACAACAACGCAACCGGGTTTTGTTACCCTTTGAATTACCCGATCCAAACACTGGTGGGTGTGGGTGATGAGAGTAAAGTCGGGTATTTCAAGGTGAGAACCAAACGTAGCTGGCACAAGAAAATGAAGGTGGGTATTCGGGTTCTTGGGGCGGTTATTGTGGTTCTGACCGGAGTTGTGCTTGGGTATGGAGGTTATAAGATCTGGAATAGGAGGAGAAGAGGGCCTCAATGGGTCTTGGAGGAGAAGACTGAGGTAGCACCCGGCCCGTATAAAAATCTCGGGTCAGCTAGTTTCAAGTCTATCGAGATGTTTTAGTAGCGGTAGTGAGTAGTGACGTAAGGGATGACCTTCTTTTCAGAGGCATGTGGGGTTTGACTTTGGGTGAAACTAACAGGTGGGGCCGGTCATTGCCAGGTTGGATACCCCGGAAGTTTTTACCGGTCAACTTATCTTGCTTTAGGGACCCGACAAGATATTTATGAGGGAGAGAAAGCCTCGTGTGCTTCGAGCATGTTGCAATGTCAAAAGGGCTTCGACAATCCTTGCCCTCTAGTCGTCGCCGCTCTCAACATCCTTATTTATTAATCATGCTTTTTTGAACTCAACATGCAGAAGCCACAGCATTCTCTCTTTCTTCCTTGCAGTCGGTGCCTTTCTTCAACTTGTTGTAATTGAGGCTATGGTTTAGAATGATACCATACATACATACATACATACATGGCGTTTTGATATAAAATTCCAATTCTTCCATGTAATATATAGTTCCGTGTCCAGAATATGTATAAAAAAAGAGTCTTTTCACGACTATCATACCCTGTTTTCACGTTGATTTGAGAAATCTGGAGTAATTAAATTAAATATTGTAACGATATAACTCGACCGAATCAAACCAATTGGATTCTTGGTATCACGTCAATGGTGATGAAAACAAAAGGGAAACCATTTTATTTTTAACAAAAATAGTTAATTTATGTATCATTAACAAGTTGACTCAATATCAAAATAATATAAAGTGCTTTTCTAGTTCCATGCCTATATTTGTACATATAGTTTATGTGTTGCATTGTCATGTGTGCCCTTTCCCTCTCCTTTGTCAACAATATTGGCTGCTTTGTTGAACGGTCTCTTGTTCTTGTAGGTAGATTTCCACTAGTTGTTGCCCCAGTCTCAATCTTAGCCGTGGACCTATATCCTATCCTAGCATGCTTCTAGATATCCATCTCATCATGACAATTCATTTTATATTAAATAATAATAACAATAAAGATAATTCAACTAAGGTGAAACAGTGAGTGGACAGAGAGCTAATTACTAGCCCAAGCCCTAATCGAAACAAGGCACCAGCAATTGGAGCCCATGTAAGCTATCTTTCGAGATGGGTTCGGTGGAAGGTGGGCCTAAATCCACTCCTTATCGTGGCCCATATCACCTATCCTTGGGCTTCATCTACCAAACGACATGTCAGCCGTCATGCAGAAGGTCCTAGTTAAAGCCGGCTTCTAGGGGTTTCAAGGGAGCGAGAGGCTTCCTTGTTCGCTTGTCGTGTTAAGAAAGAAAAAGTCAACCTAGAAAAATGGCATCGAGATCCGCACTGAGCCGACTTAGCTTAACTGCTCCTCGCTCGATGGAGTCAGCTCGTGGAGCTACTCGTTACTTCAGTGATGACAGGGGCCGAGTTCTGAGCGAAGAGGAACGCGCTGCCGAGAACGTCTATATTAAGGTTTTCCCCTCCTCGCTTCTCTCTTCTTCTTCTTAACGGCTCTACCGATTCTGTTTGGTTGTTGAGAAAGTGTAGGAAAGTGAAGGAAACCATTTCTTTTGGCAATCGATCAAGCTTGAAAAATGTTTTGTCGTTTTATTTTAGCTTCTGTTTGGTTCCCCTGGTAAACTCCAGGAAAATGAAAGATACAGTGAAAGCAATTGGGAAAATCAGAGTATTCTGAGTTAAGTGTATTTTTTCTTGATTTATCTACAACTTTTCCATTGATTGTTTTCCGCCTGCAGCTGATAAAGTGGGGGAAGATGATAGAGTAAAGGGAAAAATAAATGAAATTTACGAGTTAGATTTGGTTTTGCTTCAGTTAATGAAAAATTTGCCCTCAAACTGAGCTTGATGATTGATGATTGTACTGTGATTTTTTTTTATTTGCGGTAGAAAATGGAGAAGGAAAGGTCGGAGAAACTGAAGCTAAAGCAGGAGAAAGAGAAGACAGAGAAAGATAATCAGGGTAGTGACAAGGTAATTTTGTGGCTTCATGATTTTTTCTCCTCGTTTTGGAAGTAAAGCTGTCACATTGCTCCTGTAACAATAGTTTTTCCTTCATGTTTTACTTTTGGTTAAGCATAATATAGGGTTGCATTGTTGTTAATGGAATGCGTCGGGGTGATGGGTTAATTATGAGAAGACGGTGACTTGGTTTTCTATCGTGTTTCAAAAGCAATACTCCCTACTTTCACCAACTTTGATGTTTAATGTAATGACTACCTGAATGATTTTAAATGCATGTCGTTCAAGTAATTGATACTGGGTTATATAGATCATGTTTATGCATTCTAGTAACATGCTACACTAGGAAATGGTCGGTGGTGCAACGTCGATATCTTGATGTAGTGAAAACTGCAGTTTTGGTTACTTGGATTGAGTTTATGCATTCTAGTTTCATACTATATGAGGAGATGGTTGGTGGCGTGACATTGATATCTTGATGTGGTGTAAACTGCGGATTTGGTGATTGTTGCCCTTGGCACAGATTTCTACTTGATTTCCTTTTCTATTGGTTTTTGCAGTTTATCTTTGAAAATTAAGTTTTATCTACCTCAATTGTGTCCTGTTTTGCAGAAAGCTGAAGGGAGCCAGAAATCCTGATGGGGGTTAACTGCACCAGAGGCTGTAATGTTGCTGTGGCAATAATCTTCTGAAATAAATGTGACTCGTATTGAGATTTGGTGTTTGTACATACTTGTCTTTTGAATACTCTTGCACAGCCGGTCATAAGCATGGCCATGCTCGTCTACTTGGTTATGTACCTGTTGGAAGTTTTCCTTTCTTAATTTTGACCGATCTGGATTCGTAGTTCGTTTTTATCTTTACTTTTGTTGATGCTCTGAATGATTTCCCGTTATACAATTGAGTTCATGCGGCAATTGTTGATGCTTCACCCAAAACTAGCTGACCTACCTGCGACTAATTTGTTGCCTGAAAGTAGAAAAGAAGTCTTTGACTGGATGGGTGTTTTGCTACTTCATTTCTGATCACAAGTGGTGGTCAGTTCTAGCTTTTTGACGAATTTGGTTCAAATCTTCCTTTGAAGATCACGAAAAGCATCTAAATCCAAAGGGATTCAACCACAGCAGCACAGTAGACTTGACTGAAGGTTTTAAGTCATGGAAATTTATGACAATGATGAACAAACAAAGATTACATGACTCTGAGCCACGAGAACAATCATTGATAGCTCGGAGTATAAAAGGAAAATCACTAGAAAAGATGAAAATACATGTTGATTCCATGTTATTTGAGATAACCAGCACCGATTGGACGTACTAGCATCTTTTTCGAGGCAGGAAGTAGCTAGCTAGCCTTCAGTTTAGGGCTTGCCAAAGCCAGACTTGATCTTCTGAATGGTATATACATCAGTCTTGAATGCCTTGGCAAGAATACCATCATCGATTCCTGTTGAAAGACAGACAAAGGCACAGAAAGTGTTCCAGCATTTGCACTACCAAAAGAAGAAATCACAATTGCTGATTTTTGGGTTGGGTTCTATTGATAGTACACAAGACCCTTTGGAAAAATAAGCATATCTCCATCTTGGAGGCTCTGGGTGTAAAGCACATTTTTGGTATCAACAAATCCAACTTCAAGGCTACCATACACAAGGAACACGAGTTCAGCAGCGCGGGGGTGGGTGTGAGGTGGGTTCAGACCATCGGCAGGGTATTGAAGCACAGCATATGACACACTCTGCCCGTTGAGAGCTGGGAACTCATTCATGGTTGCTTTTGTTAAAGTGAAGTTTTGAGGAAATTTAGTAAGAACCCCACGCATTCCTGTGAAAGTGAAGAACTTTCCATCAACACTTGTGTTAGTTGGTGCAATGAAATCCGAAAGGATATCAGGATCACTTGCTGAGGCAGTCTTGGCAGTGACCAAGGCAAGTAGGAAAAGAATTGAGGAAATAGGTTTGAGTGAATTCACGGCCATGATCGATAAGTTGTAAGCTCAACAGTTGAATATGGAGCTTTCAAGTTTTGCGATGATTGGATTTAGTTGTCCTAGCAATGCCTTTATAGCTTCTTTGAGGCTGAAAAACCTCCTGCTTGCCAGAAAGTGCTGAAATGTCTATGTTACTTTCATGTTTTCACCGAAAAAATCAATCGCGTTCCTCTATAATAGCACTCGCCAGCTAGATAGGAATTGGACTCTTCTGAGATTTCCAGGCAGGCAGTGCACCCCGAAGACCTGATCGAAAAGGGTCTTTAAATTTCTCTTTCAGGCTCAGTTCATTGCAGGTATATACTGAAGCAGGACATTTTACAGCTTGGTTGAAGGAGGCAAAATATTTTCATCAAGTTAGGAGAATAAGTTAAAATCTTTACTCCGAGGCCCAACTTCCGACCTAGTCCAGAGGGTTTATATATATATATATATATATATATTGAAATTCTGTATTTATTGGTCTGCCTTGTGCAACCAAAACTATACGGTCTGATCATTGGATCTTTTAAACAGTTCAAAGGCCATTAAACAGTTCAATGTATATAGCCTCAAATACAGTAAACAGGAGATGAGAAAAAAACAAAGCCTTGATGACGATTAGAATTTTTGGCATTTTCCGTATTCGTGTGGATTAGCCATGAAAAGAAAATATAAATCGACAATGCCGAGGAACTCCAGCTTGCCAAGGCCTGCAAAAGTAGTTACTGAAGGGTTAATTAGTAGTATAAACGGGATCCTCCTTAAATGTAAAACGGCATAGCAGGTTGTAGTAGGATCATTAAAGATCTTTTAATGGCTTCAAACACTCACCAGGGTTTCTTCTTGATATTAGTGCTGACCTTTTCCTGCTTTCAAATATCAATATCCGGAGATGCATGCAGATATAATCTCTGATTTTGTGGTGTCACCAAATGTTACCAAAGTTGATGGAAAGTTGTTCACTTTTACCAGCTTAAGGTCTCTTCTTGGGGGTAAGCCACCAACAGCTTTCACCGCCTCAAAAGTAAGCATGGCAGAATTTCCAGCTCTCAATGGACAGTGTTTCTCACGCGGTTTTACAATATCCAGCCGGTACACTGAACCCTCACACTCAACCTCGATCAGCTGAGCTGCTGTTTCTTATTGATGGTTGCCTTAAAGTGGGCTTTGTTGACACAACTAACAAGCTTTATAATCAGATACTTGAATCTGGGGACGTGTTTGTGTATTCAAAGGGACTTGTTCACTGCCAGTATAATAATGATCCTAACGATCTGGCTGTAGCAGTGTCTGCCTTTGGTAGTGCAAGTTCTGGAACCGTGTCGATTCCGAGCACTTTATTCACAACTGGCATTGATAGTGGGATTTTGGCTAAGGCTTTCAAGACTGATGTTGCTACCATAGAAAAACTCAAGGCAGGTTTGGCACCCAAGGCCTGATATGGAGCTCTAACATAACGTTCCCAGTTTTTTCCATCTTATTTATGAACGAGTAAGTGTTTATCACGGCTCAATGAAGGATTTTGTGGTGATTTTATTTTCATTCGGTGTATTTCTTCATTTTGCTTCTAACTTATGATCAAATGATGATAAATAACAGTGTAGCAAAGTTTATACAGTTTGCCAGTCGCACGCTGACTGTGAAATACTCTCACATTATCAATCTGTTGCTTCGTTAATAACATTCCCCTCAGAAAACCCAAAGCACTTGTCGGTTTAATTTCGTTCGAAGATGGAGTACGAGGAAGTCTATGGTATTCATTGATAAACCTCAACGTGCCCTTCATTCTTCTTTGTCAGAAAAGAGTTCAATGAACATATGCCTTTTCACTTCTTCTAAATGACAAGTGAAGTTATGAAGTATCAGGTGTCTCAGCTTCAAGTGAAAAGTACATAATGTTCAGTATGTTCACCGAAGTACCAAACTGCTGCAGCATTGAGCCTTGTATAATAGCATCATCATTTCTCTTTGTTTTCTTTTTTATTGATTTTTAATTTTTGTTATCCATTTTAAGGGTTCAGCCATGCCTTTTTTCATAGGCAGACTATACTTAAATTCCTTTGCCATTTGCATATCATTGATTAACTGTTATTTCACAAAAACTAGGACTGTTTTATATTGATTTTTCGGGTGTATAACTGATCTTAAGGACATGCGAAATGGTCACTTTGCAGATCCAGACAAAGTAGGATTCAAGTTGAAAAGTTTTGCCAAAAGAATTCTATAAGAACCAGACTGCAAACGTTTTATTACCACAACATTCATTCTTTCTCTGCAGAAGACAATCGAATGAAGAAATGGTAAAGGTCAGGTAGAAAGAAAAGTAACTAAAGCTAAATGTAGCTACAGTAGCAAGACTAGGATCATGTCATGCCTTCATGGCGAGACCTGCTTTGATCTTCTGGATAGTAGAATATCAATTTTAAAAGCCTTGGCAAGGATGTTATCATCAATGCCAGTACCAAACACAGTTGATGGAACAGACAGTGCCAGCATTTGCTTTTCCAAAGGCAGAAATAGCTGTGGCAGGGTTCTTGGCATTTGCATTGGACTGATAGTGCACAAGTCCCTTCGGGAACACAAACATGTCAACAAGTTGAAGAGTCTGAGTGTGAAGTTTATTTGTGGTGTCAATGAAGCCGACCTCAAGGGCCAAGGCTTCCATCGACAGCGAAAAGGAGCTCAGCAGGAGGAGGATGGGTGTGAGGTGGGTTGATTGTACCTGCAGGGCACTCAAGTGCAGCAAAGGAAACACTCCGACCATCAAGAGAAATCCCCATCAATGGTTGTTGAAGAGTTTGCTGGGACTACAAAGTCTGTGATGATATCTGGATCACTTGCTGTGACCATGGCAACAAATGTCACAAAAAGAACCATGGGACTAGTATACATCTCCTTCCAACAAATTGAATATGTGATGGAATGGGTGATTTGTGCTTTCTGTGCCGAGTAATTCCACTGAATCGGGCACTTATTTCTTAAACCATCTTAGATATTTTTTTTAAAACAAAAAAAAGGGAAAAAAATAATAAATTAATTCATGGATGTACAAGTAATTTGTTGTTAGAGAAGAAAAGAAAGACGATGTATTGGGTTGAAAAGATATTTAAATTATTTTGTATTTAAATTTTCTAAGATTTAAATTGCAGAATAAAATAGATAATTTTTTCTAAAAAAGATTCTTCAAATTTTGTTATGAATAGTGATGCAAATCCTCAAATAAGCCGAACAGATGCAGTCTCAACCACCCATCTAAGTTGTTTGTTCTTGCTTTAATAGTATCAATTAGTGTGTGTGTGTGTGTAATAAAATAATTTAATAGCATCGATCCTCTAATAAAAACCAATATATATTTTCATGACTAAACGTTCTTTTTAAAGTTCTAAAATCAGTAGCCAGTAGAGCTAGTTAACTTTTTAAAATATATCGATTTAGTAAAAAAATATATATAATTCAATCTTGGGATTGTTATTGTTGCATAGAAGATTCCGTGGTTCATAAGATATAATTTATAATAATATTCTAACGAGGATTTCAACCAGCGCGTCATCTGGAAAGCTTGAACAAAGAAGACTAGCACAGCTGCAGTTCTTGCTCTCACTTGCCCAGAGATTTAAAATAGGTTTTCCATTCATGATTGAAAACAAGAGCGTGCTGAAAATCACAAAACGAAAGGCACAATTCTATTAAAAAATAGTGTTCCCTAGCATGGCAAGAACAGCAGAACTAATCGATTATACAAACCTCTTCTGACCTGACTCAGACGGATCAGATTGGGAATCCAATTCAACGATCCATGGCGCCCTTGCTTGTTCCCTCTCCCGTTACTTCAGAAACGGCGGCTAGCTTTTTAGCAACTGAATGTAACTCCGTAGAGCTTCCTATAGTCTGGAATGAAGTCGTGACGGTTTCCTTCACAGCCAAAAAGAAAGAATCGTCGAGGCATAGCTCCGCCCCTCTTGTTCGAGTATGGGTTTCTATGCCTAAACACAGGGCCCGATCCGGGTGAAAAAGAAGAAGCCCGATATTATATGTAAGAATAGCAGCTGCCCCCCCTTTCCTGTTTGGAAAGGGGAAAGTGCTCGGCGCGGCGCCAAGACCCTTGACGAACCCCACAGATGATAGGCCAGGGGAAGGCGACTGAAGACCTATTACTGGAATAGGGACTCCTCGGGCAAGACTATTTAAGATGTGGTATTCCATGTCGCCAAAGCAGGCAGCTAAGCTTTAGCTTACTTCCATCTCCCATCAATGGCTTCCGGGAGATTATTGGGCCTTGATTTGTGCTTAGATTTGACCTCAATTAAAAAAAAAAATTATCAAACGGCGACAATGCATGCATCTATTGAACATAAAATTGGATTTTCATGGAAAGCATGATTGATTTAATAACTATAGAGATATTCTTAATAAACCAACTTCCTAATACTTTTTTCATTTATTTAGATTTGAATGTACTATTTATATATATAAAAACCTAGCGATATATTTTAATCACCATTCAATCTTCAATGGTTTTACAATGATATTGTACATTCTTATGATGATCTTACTGCTTTTTTTAATTGCCATGTACTTACTGTAACAACAAACTCATCGATATTTAATTAAGAAAATACTTTTGAAACTCTACTTTAATATCATGATGGGTTTTGTTTACAAAAACAATATTTGCAGTCAGAAAAGCACATTTTCACTAAAACAATCTGAGAGATGCCTTGATTAAAAAAAAAAAAAAGAGTTTAGATTGAAGAAATATATTTTCTTACTTCTTTTGAACCATCTGAATTCCTAGAGAAAACCTCTATTTCCACTGTCATCGTCTTTTATTGTGAAAAAATATGGACTTAGTTAAGAAAATAGGATGTTGTCTTTTAAAATATCGTTACTTTTCTATGTTTATGTTACTAATTGCTTTGCAGATTATTATGTATTAAACTGATATATAGAATTAATTCCTACTATGAACACACACATGCATGATTCTTATATTTTCCATCCTGAATTGTTTATATTCTTCTTTCAGAATCACTGTTCTCATTTTTTATGCTACTGTGGATATATGTTTGATTTATGTATTTCTTATCGAAGATACGCTATTCCCTTTTTATGTCAAATTGATATATTTCATCGATTTTTTTAATCTGTTGCTCTTTTTTTTGTTCATTAATCCACGATGTTATTAAAAAAAAACACTATAGATGTAAAAAAAAATACAAGAATAATAAAATATAATTCAGATAAGAAAATATATTAATTTATTGTCATTCTTGTAAATGTATATCTCTACAATTGATTAACTAAATTTAAAAAAAAAATCTATAAAACAAGATTATCAAACCCCGTTGGCCTCATAACTTATATCATGAGCTAAGTTGGTTTACCTAGTTTGAATAAGCTAGGTAAAAAATTAAAAAATTATTATTCTGATTTTTCATGATTTTTTTATCTTTTTGAGAAAAGTCCCAGTGATACCACTCTGCATAATTGAAATTGTTGTAAAGATTATTTTTTAAAATATATTTTTGATATTAAGGTATTAAAATAATTTAAAAATATATACAATATATAACTTAAAACAAAAAAAAAAAGTATTTTTTTAAATATACTTTTAGAACACAAAAATAAATATTATCTCCTACCTCCTCCTCTTCTAATTTTTATTTTTTTTTGGCTTAAGTTTTACGAATGATGAACTTGTTACACATGCAAGAAGTGTGAGAGACTTTTGTGATTTCATTTTGAAAAGGGAAGGCGGGAAAGGCAGACAAAGAATTATGGATATACTCAAGTAAAGGCCGCAGGGCAGCAGGGCCCCCAACATTAATCATGACCGTTACCCAACAAAATCACCACCACACTCAACTTCATGATGACGGTAGGCTGTAGATACCCTAACTCTAGTCCTACCTCACGGGATCTCTCCCTTCTGTCCCCACACCTTTTTCTTTCTTTTTTTTTAAAAAAAAGATTTTAAAGCCAAAAACATTAAACAGCTTGATAGCCGTCGAGGCTGAAATCCTCTCCATCTTTCTCGAAGAGGACAAAAAGGTGAAAAATTTGTCTCAATCCCTGCCCTAATCTTTACACCTAAACCTTCTATACTCGGTTTCAAATCTTCTTCTGCTTTCTTCCACACACAAATTAACTGAATAACCAAAACTTCTACAGCTTGAATTGTAGGAGACTACGGTAGATAATAATGTTCCATCAATAGCATAAATGGTATTAAAAGAAAACGAGGAACCAGAAAAATATCATCTAGAGAGACAAAAGAAGAGGGCTGGCCACTCATGGCTGGCTCAAGCTGCAATCCCATTGACCAAAATCTTTCAAATTCACCAGGCATGGTGTGTATGGAAAGACCGAGATCTGCCCCTTCATTATTTGCCTGTCTTTCTTTGTTCTATAAATCAATTCCACCCTTTTGTCTTCGGGATCATAACTGAGCATAGCTCCCCCAGTCCCAAAGAAGACAACTTCGGAAGTTGGATGCAAAGCAAAGGGCCTCAAAGCTGAAATTTTACCAAATCTGGCAATAGTAGTCCTATCCAGCCGATGCACGTGTTTTCCCAAATAATCAACATTGATATTGTGAATCAGAGTCCATCTGTCATTCTTGCAACGATCCTCAAACAACCAAAAGTGTAATGCAGTTCCGACAAGATCGGAATAACATAAATGGCGCCTCGACAGCCCAATGCATCCATAGTCATTGGGAGCAAGTCTCTCCTTCTCTGGAAGCTCAATGGCACGAGAATTTCCTCTGTTAAGATCAAAACATAAAAGCAGTTTTGAGGCAGATTGACGGTACAACACTCCATCCAAGTAAATACAATGCTTGGCCAATCTAGCCTTCTTAGATCCATATCCAAAAGCGGTTTCTTGGATAGTCCAACTGCCAGTCTCTGATGAGAACACGCGCAATCTTTGGGGGCCCTTGGGCTCTGAATAATCAAAGCAAACAACTCTGTAGTGTGGTGATTTGAAAGGATCAAATGCCAGGGATGCAGAACATGTGTCTTCGAGTGTAAAATCTCTAGGAATCGCCACACACTGTTTTGTCACAGGATTGCACACATAGTACTGCGGAATAGAACCCTCAACAAACAAAAGCAGACCATTGCAACAATCAAGGAAATCAACCCAGGCAGGTTCAAAAGGCAACAGCGAAGAATAGGACTTGACAAATTCATGTGGTTCCGGTGCAACTGCTGGAGTCATGGCGCAGGGGATATAATCAATGTATGTTTTCCCGCTACTGACCCTCCTCCACACATGGTAAATAAAGCCACGAAGAGGTGAAGAATCTGAGATTTTTGGAACACAAGCATCAGTAATCAGATTGTTCCAACATTTGCAAACGCTTTTAAGTCTAATGAGATGCTTGCGATCAGTAACTCGACAGAGGATTTCAACCAGCACGTCATCTGGTAAACTTGAAAAAAGACAACTGGCACAGCTGCAGTCCTTGCTCTCAACTGCTTTTCCATCTAAAGAGGTAGCCATCAGTCCCCCTCTACCTTTTTCGCACGCACTTCATTAATTTGACAAGCAAAGGGAAAAAAAAAAAATTAGCCCCGTGACTACTTTTACAGTTTCTGACTTATCAGATGCAATTTGGGAATCCACCCTCTTCAGAAATAATTAACATAGCCGTCCTCTTCGCAAAAAAAAAATATAGTAACTTGTTTCAGAGATTTAAATTAGGGTTTTCATGATTGAAAACAAAAGATGCTGAAAATCACAAAATTAAAAACACCAACATTTCCTGACATGGAAAATAAAACAGCAGAATTAATTAAATATACATAACGATGGTAGAGATAAATAGTTTTCTAAATTAATTAAAGAAACCAAAACCTGATCAGCAGAAAACAATAGATAACTCATTGCACTTAATCAATTTGTCAAGCAAGGGGAAAACAAGAGGAAAAGAAAAGAAATTAGCCACATCCTGTTTCTGAGATGCAATTTGAGAATCCATCCCCTTCAAAAACATTAACACCGCAACAAGCCCTCCTCTTTGCCAGGGAAAAAAAAAAACCAAAAGTATAACTTTTGAGACCAGAAGGTGATAGCTTATTTCAGAGATTTAAAATAGGTTTTTCATTCATGATTGAAAACAAAAGCGTGCTGAAAATCACCAAACGAAAAACACAATGTTATTAAATATACAAAACGATGGTAGAGATGAATAGTTTTCTAAATTAATTGAAGAAACCAAAAAAAAAGATCAGCAGAAAACAATAACAATAGATAACTTATTGCAAAAATTTAGGGTAAACAAGGTAAATTAGCTTACTGTGCTGTCTCTCTCTGATTTATCAGATGCATGTGGCTGTCGTATCACCAGTACGTAAAAATAATATAAATATAATTAAGAAGGCAAATAAGATCACAAAAGAAAACTTAGTTTGCAAAAGTAGGGTTTCAAGTGATTCCTCGTCTATTTAAACCTTTTTTCATGCCACCGGCCCATCTAGAGAAATTGCTTATAAGGGCTCAACTACTGGGTCTTAGTTTGATTAAGATCTGGGCTAATAAGTTGTGCTCAATTAAAAGAATTTAACCACCCATATTTCTTAAACCATCTTAGATATTATTTAAAAAAAAACAAAATTCAAAGAATAGAAAATTCTAATAACCTTTAAAAATAATTTCAGAGATAAAAATAGGGTAAAGTTGTGAGATTTTCAAAAACACTGAATTATCCAAAATTTTAAAAAATAATAAATTAATTCATGGATGTATAAGTAATTTGTTGTTAGATAGGAAAAGAAAGAAGATGTATTGGGTTAAAAAGATATTTAAATTATCTTGTATTTGAATTTTCTAAGATTTAAATTGCGGAATAAAATAGATAATTTTTTTAAAATAAAAATCATCAAATTTTACTATTTTTACCCACACTTGTTGTTATGAAAAGTGATGCAAATCCTCAAATAAGCCGAATATATACATTCTCAACCACCAATGTAAGTTTTTTGTTCTTGCTGGTTAAATTTTAAAAAATATAATTTAACTTTTTTGTTCTTGCATGAAAGATTTCGTGCTTCATAAGATATAAAATTACAGCGACAGTTAGTATATAATTTTAAGAAATATATTGAAGGGCCTTTCTTTTTATGATGAATGTCTTATAAAAGGGATTAGTCCAGTAAAAATATATGGAATTTCTTGTTTATCTTAGCCCCAATATAATATTCTTAACTAAAATTATTCTTCTTATTAAAAAAATATTTCGTCGTTGTTACAATAAATTAATGATTAATATTATACCTAGTTAAAATCTAAACAGATTATAAATGTGATGAAATAACATTCAAAATCTGTTTACAAATTTTAACAATAAAAAACCAATTTTAATATAATCCTCGCGGACAGTTTATTTATTGTTCATATTGTTAAGTAAATTATTAAAATAAAAATAAAAATAAAAATTTATAATAATATTCTAATGAAAATCACAAAACAAAAGGCACAATTTTATTAAAAAATAATGCTCCCTGACATGGAAAAAACAACAGAACTAATTGATTGTACAGACCGGCTTGTAAAAATAAATAATTTTATAAATCATCAATGTAATTAAAGAAACTAAAAATCAACATGGAAAACAATGCTATATCTTATTGTAAATTAGGTTACTTTATTGCCGCTCTTTGACTTATCAGATATTACATCGCCGGTGTAATTAAGAAGATTTTATGTCTTCTTTTATAAAAACAATGTTAAATAAGTGTTGTTTTACAATATTTTTTTAAAAAAATTCAAGATATATTTTACCTATTCGTGTATTTATTTATCAAATTAATTAAGTCATATTTAATCAGTTTTTATAAAATTTATTTTAAAACTTAATTCAATATAATAATCAAATTGACAAGTCAATGACTTCTTCTCAAGTCTACTACTTTTTATAATATTATTAAAAAAAAATTGGTATTAATTGGTTTTTTTTATCATCAGCTTAATTATCAACTCTGAAATAGGTAACATCGTAAATTTTATTTGTTTTAAACATATAAAATTAATACAATATATTTTTTTAAAATTATATAAATAGCATTAAATTTTTTCATGCAAACCTCTCGAATCAGGGGACTGACAATGACAATATTAGATGCATCCATGTTGCATATAATTGTATTTTCATGGCTCGGTAAAGCATTGAAGGTCGTGATCTCACAAAAAATCTTGAGGATTATTTTTTTATTTTTTTGCAATACACTTTTTTGTCTCAAATTGTAAAAATTTGTCTCAATCCCTGCCCTAATCCTGACACCAAAGAATAAATCTTAATATCGATTGATCGCCTTTACAAAATGTAAAGTAACGGCGACAGTTCATGCATACTGTTTAAAAAAATCCTCTTGATGGAGGGCTTGCACGTGTACAAAACATAACTGACAACCTAACAAATTCTTTTCAACACCATTGACATTAATGGTCCCAAACAAGTTGTTGAATATTCTGACTTTCCATTATTTTTTTTCTTTTTTAGAAAAGTCTTGGTGACACCGCTTGTTTTTCTTTTTAGATGTTTGAATTCGTAGTTATAATTATTTTTTATATTAATTTTTTTTAAAAGAATATTTTTAACATCAAAACATCAAAATATAAAAAATTTAATTTAAAGTAAACAAATAAATAGGATCTTTTAAATCCTCCACCTCTAATTTATTTATTTTTTTTTTTTGTTGGCTCAAGTTTTACGAACCGTAAGCTTGTTACACGTGCGAGAAGTACGAGGGACTTTTGTGATTTCATTTTGAAAACGGAAGGTGGGAAAGGCAGACACAGAATTACGGATATACTCAAGTAAGGGCCTAAGGGTAGCGGGGCCCCAAACATTAATCATGACCGTTACCCAACAAAATCACCACCACACTCAACTTCCTGATGACCGTAGGTTGTAGATACCCTAATTCTAGTCCTACCTCACGGGATCTCTCCCTTCTGTCACAGAACTTCTTTTTTTTAAGAAAGAAAAAGATTTTAAAGCCATAAACAGCTTTATAGCCCCTCGAGGCTGAAATCCTCTGTATCTTTGTCGAAGAGAACAAAAAGGTGAAAAATATGTCTCAGTCCCTGCCCTAATCTTGACACCTAAACCTTCTATACTCGGTTTCAAATCTTCTTCTGCTTTCTTCTCCACATCAAATCTTGAAGACCCAAGTCTAGAGGGGCTGAAAAGATGAAAGGAATAATGAAAGGGAAGTTGATGAAGAAGCTGTTGTCAACGAAGCCAACAGGGTACTTGAAGGAAACTAGAGTTCTCCACGTGAATGCAGCAGATGGGTTCATTGAGGCATTGATAACGAGGCCTAGTCTACAAGCTCAGGCTCAGGCTGAAACCTCAGAGTTGATGTTTTCAGGGTGGCGTAAATGTTTGTAGGGCTGTTAGAAATTTGAGATTTTAAGGGTATTGTTACCGTGATGTAGAGAAGATGTTTTGGACAGGGTTAGTATTCAGTACGCAGTAGGAAAGATCAGAGAAATGAATCTTCTAAATGAGACGATCTCCTTATGGGGCAGGGAAGGTGAACCCCAGAGATCTCTAGAGAGAATAGCTTGTAACCGCAGTAGACAGAGTTGTGATGGAAATGGATGAATGAATGCTATGTGTTTTCATCATATCCATTAAATGTTTAAACTGTCATCTACTGATATTTGTAACTGGCTTTGTAACAGGTTGTTTTGGACTGGATTGAGTAGCTTTGGTAAAGGTGATTGGAAAAACATCTTAAGAAATGTGGTCATTACCAGAAAAAGTAGCTTGACATGCCCAGAAGCACTTCCTTCACACGCCAGAATTCTGTGAAGAAAGAGAGGAAATGAGCATTGCTTATGTAATTGTAAAACCATCCCACATCGAAAACAAAAAAGAATTGTCAGGTCAGTTTTCTCTATAAATAGAGGTCCGCTACCCCACGTGTCTTCTTATTCGGAGACAAAGCCAGTAGCAGCGCGCTAGAGGCAAGTCTCTCTACTAGGTTCTTCTTTAATTACCCTGCTTTCAATGCCTTAACACTTCGAGAAGAAGGCAAGTTAATTAGGACAGCATGACAGTTTGTTTTAATATTTGGTTGTTGTGATCTGCTAGTGACTTGCTCGTTCCGATAATGATATATAGAACAATGATTTGTTTGTATGTTTTTCAAATTTTAATCAGAAATAAAAACTAATCAATTAGTAGAATATCTGCATAATTTCATCAATAAATACGATCCTGAGTTTGCCAAACAATATTAGCATTCTCACTATGCTTAGCTTGTTCTATTCTACGTACTATCTTCTGTTTTTTTGTGCTGATAAGAGGATTAGTCTTCAGAAAAATCATTAGAATAAAATACTTGCTTTTAATGCCTGGACACTTGGAGAAGAAGACAAATTAATTAGGAGATGACGGCAGTTTGTTTTTATAATTGGTTGTTGCGATCTGTTAGTTACTTGTTCGTTCGATAATGATATATAGAACCATGACTTGCTTGTATCTTTTTCAAATTTTAATCAGAAATAAAAACTAATCAATTAGTAGAATATCTGCATAATTTCATCAATAAATACGATCCTGAGTTTGCCAAACAATATTAGCATTCTCACTATGCTTAGCTTGTTCTATTCTACGTACTATCTTCTGTTTTTTTGTGCTGATAAGAGGATTAGTCTTCAGAAAAATCATTAGAATAAAATACTTGCTTTTAATGCCTTGACACTTGGAGAAGAAGACAGATTAACTAGGAGATGACGGCAGTTTGTTTTTATAGTTGGCTGTTGCGATCTGTTAGTTACTTGTTCGTTCGATAATGATATATAGAACCATGACTTGTTTGTATCTTTTTCAAATTTTAATCAGAAATAAAAACTAATAAATTAGTAGAATATCTGCATAATTTCATCAATAAATACGATCCTGAGTTTGCCAAAAAATATTAGCATTCTCACTATGCTTGGCTTGTTTTATTCTATGTATTATCTTCTGTTTTCTTGTGCTGATAAGAGAATTAGTTTTCTTGTATTAATCAGTAGAAAAATCATTAGTAGTCCAGTGTCTTTATCTCTAGGATTTTTTTCTTTGTTTTTGCTGGTGTTTTATGCAGCATCCTTCAAAATGGAAGCAACCAGATTTCATCAAGAATTTTATAAAATCGAACGCATTGGTTGGTATTTTTTTCACTTTTATTTTCAATAATACTTTTTTTTTTTGTGTTAAATTTCATTGGATTTATTTCATTAAATATTTCAGGAAAAGGGGCATATGGAACAGTTTTTTCATGCATGCATAAGTTGGATGGACAAGCATATGCTGTAAAAATTGTAAAATTTAATAAACATAATGATCAAGATAAGGTGTTAAGAGAAGTGAAAGCCTTGGCTAAATGTAATCACAGCAATGTGGTAAGATATTTCAATGCATGGATTGAATGGATGGTGGTGCGGTCTTCTGATGAAGATGAAGATTATGATAAAGGAGGAGGTGGTGATGGTTCTTCTCCTAAGAGTCCGGATGCCATGCTTTTCATACAGATGGAGCATTGTCATCAGTAAATAAATTTTTAATAGTTAAACCGTTAAGTTTTGTTAGTTAAACTGTTAAGTTTTGTCTTAGAAGCGTGGTTCTTTATTCTAACAAGCTTACTCTTCCATAGGAATCTTGACAATCTACTGGAGCAATCAACCATAACTGAGGGTACAGCTCTGAGGTACTTTCAAGGGATGGTGAAAGGTCTGGACCACATACATGGGAAGAAAATAATCCATGGGGATCTGTCAAGGAAAAACATCTTCATTGACGCTAGCGACGTGATCAAGGTGGCTGACTTCGGCTTAGGTATATGTTTCCTTCTCAAGTTAATAAATTTTTAGGTTTAGATTCGTTGTTACCTTTTAACTAAAAAACTTCTGTTTGCAGCCAAACTACTGGGCAATTCTGCTACTGCTATTAAATCTGGAAGTTCCGGCACAAAGTTTTATCTTGCTCCAGAAGCAGAAAAGGGGGCTCCCATCGACCAAAAAGCGGACATATATAGTCTTGGTATCCTGTTTTTGGAGTTGCTCGGGAGCTTCACCACGATGTCTGCGCGGGCTCATGCCATTAACGATCTGCGAGAAATGAGAGTGTTGCCTGAGAGCATATCCACATATGAAGATTACATCTTACAATTGGTGGCATTTTCTCCCGAAGAGAGGCCATCGACTAAAGAGATTCTCACATGGCCAATATGGGCTGATGTTTCATCTTCAGAGGCAGAGAATAATGACAGAGCCCCGATACGGACTGGTGATGACCACCAAGCAGCAGATGATGACATGCCAGGGTTGAAAGATGCTGGTGATGCCATGCCAGTGTTGGAAGAGGATAAGGTTAGTGTATTAAGAAGATTGAATTGTATATTTTGTTTGACACTATTGACTCCTCTTCTAAAGTAATTAATTTTTTTTTGTTTCGATTGCAGAGTCTGTTAGTCGAGATCTAATTGATCAGGACAAAGACAGACTTGTCATATCTTTTACTATTCATATACAGACTTGTCATATCTTTTACTATGCATATACAGACTTCTTTTTGTATGTTTGTATGGAGAATCCTTTTGACCTGGTCTCCATTGTTTGGTGAATAATGAATGCCTGTGAGTGTACAGTGACATATTCATAGCTTTAAGTCTTTAGCATGTGTTTTGAACTCTAGTGAGGTGATTTGGAAGGATCAAATGCCTTTTGATGGTGAACTTCCAATTGTTGATTGAGAACAACGGTACGATACAGAATGCAGCCACGAAACCGTGTAACATCATCAGATTCAGCAACCTGTCGCTTAGGACCGCAGTCTGTGCTCCTTTCGAGAACAACAACTTCAAGTCTGGTAATACCCGGAACCAAGAAAATGACAACACCATCAATGCCTAAAGGTCAGAACATGGCTGCAAAGCGAAGCAGCTTAACAAATGCTCCAAATAGAGATCAGACACGAAGTAACATGGAAAGTGTAACAAAAAGATCATTGATTTCAAGTTAACCGAGACAAAATATGGAGATAGCAAGTAAAACAAGGAAAACCATCTTGGAAAAAGGGGGGGAAGGAAGAAAAACTTGTTGCCTTGGTGATTCTTAATTTGAGAAATGAGAACTCTAAAATTGTTGCAAGACAAAACCCATTAAGTATCTTCTCTCTGCCCTGGGAAAAAGAAGTTGGAATTCAAGTTGAAAAGCATGAAGCTGTGTGGCTGTAATGGACTGGTTGTTGCCTTGAAATTCAGAAACCCTTACAATCCCACTGCCAGTGAAGGAGATCAAGAATCCTTTTAATCTCGTAAAATTGTTGGGGACCAAGAACCAATCTTGTAAAACCCTGACCCACCCCTCCACACACACACAAATTAACTGAATAACCAGAACTTCTACAGCTTGAATTGTAGGAGACTACGGTAGATAATAATGTTCGATCAATAGCATAAATGGTATTAAAAGAAAACGAGGATACAGAAAAATGTCATCTAGCGAGACAAAAAAAGTGGGCTGGCAAAAATATCATCTAGAGAGACAAAAGAAGAGGGCTGGCCACTCATGGCTGGCTCAAGCTGCAATCCCATTGACCAAAATCTTTCAAATTCACCAGGCATGGTGTGTATGGAAAGACCGAGATCTGCCCCTTCATTATTTGCCTGTCTTTCTTTGTTGTATAAATCAATTCCACCCTTTTGTCTTCGGGATCATAACTGAGCATAGCTCCCCCAGTCCCAAAGAAGACAACTTCGGAAGTTGGATGCAAAGCAAAGGGCCTCAAAGCTGAAATTTTACCAAATCTGGCAATAGTAGTCCTATCCAGCCGATGCACGTGTTTTCCCAAATAATCAACATTGATATTGTGAATCAGAGTCCATCTGTCATTCTTGCAACGATCCTCAAACAACCAAAAGTGTAATGCAGTTCCGACAAGATCGGAATAACATAAATGGCGCCTCGACAGCCCAATGCATCCATAGTCATTGGGAGCAAGTCTCTCCTTCTCTGGAAGCTCAATGGCACGAGAATTTCCTCTGTTAAGATCAAAACATAAAAGCAGTTTTGAGGCAGATTGACGGTACAACACTCCATCCAAGTAAATACAATGCTTGGCCAATCTAGCCTTCTTAGATCCATATCCAAAAGCGGTTTCTTGGATAGTCCAACTGCCAGTCTCTGATGAGAACACGCGCAATCTTTGGGGGCCCTTGGGCTCTGAATAATCAAAGCAAACAACTCTGTAGTGTGGTGATTTGAAAGGATCAAATGCCAGGGATGCAGAACATGTGTCTTCGAGTGTAAAATCTCTAGGAATCGCCACACACTGTTTTGTCACAGGATTGCACACATAGTACTGCGGAATAGAACCCTCAACAAACAAAAGCAGACCATTGCAACAATCAAGGAAATCAACCCAGGCAGGTTCAAAAGGCAACAGCGAAGAATAGGACTTGACAAATTCATGTGGTTCCGGTGCAACTGCTGGAGTCATGGCGCAGGGGATATAATCAATGTATGTTTTCCCGCTACTGACCCTCCTCCACACATGGTAAATAAAGCCACGAAGAGGTGAAGAATCTGAGATTTTTGGAACACAAGCATCAGTAATCAGATTGTTCCAACATTGACCAAAATCTTTCAAATTCACCAGGCATGGTGTGTATGGAAAGACCGAGATCTGCCCCTTCATTATTTGCCTGTCTTTCTTTGTTGTATAAATCAATTCCACCCTTTTGTCTTCGGGATCATAACTGAGCATAGCTCCCCCAGTCCCAAAGAAGACAACTTCGGAAGTTGGATGCAAAGCAAAGGGCCTCAAAGCTGAAATTTTACCAAATCTGGCAATAGTAGTCCTATCCAGCCGATGCACGTGTTTTCCCAAATAATCAACATTGATATTGTGAATCAGAGTCCATCTGTCATTCTTGCAACGATCCTCAAACAACCAAAAGTGTAATGCAGTTCCGACAAGATCGGAATAACATAAATGGCGCCTCGACAGCCCAATGCATCCATAGTCATTGGGAGCAAGTCTCTCCTTCTCTGGAAGCTCAATGGCACGAGAATTTCCTCTGTTAAGATCAAAACATAAGAGCAGTTTTGAGGCAGATTGACGGTACAACACTCCATCCAAGTAAATACAATGCTTGGCCAATCTAGCCTTCTTAGATCCATATCCAAAAGCGGTTTCTTGGATAGTCCAACTGCCAGTCTCTGATGAGAACACGCGCAATCTTAGGGGGCCCTTGGGCTCTGAATAATCAAAGCAAACAACTCTGTAGTGTGGTGATTTGAAAGGATCAAATGCCAGGGATGCAGAACATGTGTCTTCGAGTGTAAAATCTCTAGGAATCGCCACACACTGTTTTGTCACAGGATTGCACACATAGTACTGCGGAATAGAACCCTCAACAAACAAAAGCAGACCATTGCAACAATCAAGGAAATCACCACAGGCAGGTTCAAAAGGCAACAGCGAAGAATAGGACTTGACAAATTCATGTGGTTCCGGTGCAACTGCTGGAGTCATGGCGCAGGGGATATAATCAATGTATGTTTTCCCGCTACTGACCCTCCTCCACACATGGTAAATAAAGCCACGAAGAGGTGAAGAATCTGAGATTTTTGGAACACAAGCATCAGTAATCAGATTGTTCCAACATTTGCAAACGCTTTTAAGTCTAATGAGATGCTTGCGATCAGTAACTCGACAGAGGATTTCAACCAGCACGTCATCTGGTAAACTTGAAAAAAGACAACTGGCACAGCTGCAGTCCTTGCTCTCAACTGCTTTTCCATCTAAAGAGGTAGCCATCAGTCCCCCTCTACCTTTTTCGCACGCACTTCATTAATTTGACAAGCAAAGGGAAAAAAAAAATCTAAAGAGGTAGCCATCAGTCCCCCTCTGCCTTTTTCGCACGCACTTAATTAATTTGACAAGCAAAGGGAAAACAAAAAAAAAAGAAAAGAAATTAGCCCCGTGACTACTTTTACAGTTTCTGACTTATCAGATGCAATTTGGGAATCCACCCTCTTCAGAAATAATTAACATAGCCGTCCTCTTCGCAAAAAAAAAATATAATTAACATAGTCCTCCTCTTTGCAAAATAAAAATAAAAATAGTAACTTGTTTCAGAGATTTAAATTGGGGTTTTCATGATTGAAAACAAAAGATGCTGAAAATCACAAAATTAAAAACACCAACATTTCCTGACATGGAAAATAAAACAGCAGAATTAATTAAATATACATAACGATGGTAGAGATAAATAGTTTTCTAAATTAATTAAAGAAACCAAAACCTGATCAGCAGAAAACAATAGATAACTCATTGCACTTAATCAATTTGTCAAGCGAGGGGAAAAGAAGAGGAAAAGAAAAGAAATTAGCCACACCCTGTTACTGAGATGCAATTTGAGAATCCATCCCCTTCAAAAACAATTAACACGCAACAAGCCCTCCTCTTTGCCGGAAAAAAAAAAAAACCTAAAGTATAACTTTTGAAATCAGAAGGTGATAGCTTATTTCAGAGATTTAAAATAGGTTTTTCATTCATGATTGAAAACAAAAGCGTGCTGAAAATCACCAAACGAAAAACACAATGTTATTAAATATACAAAACGATGGTAGAGATGAATAGTTTTCTAAATTAATTGAAGAAACCAAAAAAAAAGATCAGCAGAAAACAATAACAATAGATAACTTATTGCAAAAATTTAGGGTAAACAAGGTAAATTAGCTTACTGTGCTGTCTCTCTCTGATTTATCAGATGCATGTGGCTGTCGTATCACCAGTACGTAAAAATAATATAAATATAATTAAGAAGGCAAATAAGATCACAAAAGAAAACTTAGTTTGCAAAAGTAGGGTTTCAAGTGATTCCTCGTCTATTTAAACCTTTTTTCATGCCACCGGCCCATCTAGAGAAATTGCTTATAAGGGCTCAACTACTGGGTCTTAGTTTGATTAAGATCTGGGCTAATAAGTTGTGCTCAATTAAAAGAATTTAACCACCCATATTTCTTAAACCATCTTAGATATTATTTAAAAAAAAACAAAATTCAAAGAATAGAAAATTCTAATAACCTTTAAAAATAATTTCAGAGAGAAAAACAGGGTAAAGTTGTGAGATTTTCAAAAACACTGAATTATCCAAAATTTTAAAAAATAATAAATTAATTCATGGATGTATAAGTAATTTGTTGTTAGATAGGAAAAGAAAGAAGATGTATTGGGTTAAAAAGATATTTAAATTATCTTGTATTTGAATTTTCTAAGATTTAAATTGCGGAATAAAATAGATAATTTTTTTAAAATAAAAATCATCAAATTTTACTATTTTTACCCACAATTGTTGTTATGAAAAGTGATGCAAATCCTCAAATAAGCCGAATACATACATTCTCAGCCACCCATACAGGTATTTTGTTCTTGCTAGTTAGAGCTAGTTAATTTTTAAAAAAAATATATACCAAATTAGTATAAAAATATAATTTAATCTTGATCAACTTGGATTGTTATTGTTGCATAGAAAATTTCGTGCTTCATATGATATAAATAATGTTCCCTGGCATGGCAAAAATAGCAGAACTAAACCAGCCTATAGAAATAAATAATTTTATAAATTATCTATGTAATTAAAGAAACTAAAAATCAACGCGGAAAACAATACCATATCTTATTGTGAATTAGGTTACTTTACTGCCCCTCTATGACCTATCAGATACTGCATCGTCAGTATAATTAAGGAGGTAAATAAAATAAAATGATATTTTATTTTGCTAAAAAAACAAATTAGGGTTTTCATGTCTGCAATCTTGTTTAAACTGTTTTTGAATGCGTGGAACAATCCATCTATAGTATTGCTTGGACATGCGGCCTTCATTAGGGCTCAATTAAAAAAATTAATTATCAGATTTTTGGAATTATCTCGGATATTTTAAAAAAAATTAGAAATAGAAAATTTGGATAATTTCTCAAAATAATGTAATAAAAAATAGGATAAAAATTGTATATTTTTATGATGATCTCACTACTTTTTTTTAATTGCTACGTGCACCTGTTTTTCTACTTATTTTAAAGAAATATATTTTCTACTTATTTTAAACAATTTAAATTTCTAAAGAAAACCTCTATTTCTATTGTCATTGTCTTTTATTATAAAAAATACGGACTTGTTTAAGAAAATAGGATGTTGTTTTTAAAAAGATCGCTACTTTTTTATGTTTATATTACTAATTGCTTTGTAGATTATTATGTATTAATCTGATGTATAGAATTAATTCCTACTATGGTTTGCTGACTAATATTGAATAAAAATAGAATACACACATGCATGATTTTTATATTTTCCATCCTGAATTGTTTTATTTTTCTTTCAGAATCACTGTTCTCATTTTTTATGCTATTGCGGATAGATGTTTGATTTATGTATTTTTAATTGAAGCTTGCTCTCACTGTTATGTCAGATTGATATATTTCATCGATTTTTTTAATCTATTGCTATTGTTTTTGTTCATTAATCCATTTTCTTAATCTATTGCTATTTTTATTAACCCAAACAAGTTGTTGAATATTCCGACTTTCCATGATTTTCTCTTCTCTTTAAGAAAAGTCTCGATGATACCACTCTTTTTAATTGAAATTGTTGTTAAGATTATTTTTTAAATTAAGGTATTAAAATAATTTAAAAATATATAAAAAAATAACTTAAAACAAAAAAAGTATTTTTTTTAAATATACTTTTAGAACACAAAAATAAATATTATCCTCTACCTTCTGCTCTTCTAATTTTTATTTTTTTTTGGCTGAAGTTTTACGAATGATGAACTTGTTACACATGCAAGAAGTGTGAGAGACTTTTGTGATTTCATTTTGAAAAGGGAAGGCGGGAAAGGCAGACAAAGAATTATGGATATACTCAAGTAAAGGCCGAAGGGCAGCAGGGCCCCCAACACTAATCATGACCGTTACCCCATAAAATAACCCTCCCCCAAAAAAACCCCCGCCACGCTCAACTTCCTGATGACCGTAGGTTGTAGATACCCTAATTCTAGTCCTACCTCACGGGATCTCTCCCTTCTGTCCCCACACCTTTTTTCTTTTTTTTTTTAAAAAGATTTTAAAGCCAAAAACATTAAACAGCTTGATAGCCGTCGAGGCTGAAATCCTCTCCATCTTTCTCGAAGAGGACAAAAAGGTGAAAAATTTGTCTCAATCCCTGCCCTAATCTTTACACCTAAACCTTCTATACTCGGTTTCAAATCTTCTTCTGCTTTCTTCTCCACATCAAATCTTGAAGACCCAAGTCTAGAGGGGCTGAAAAGATGAAAGGAATAATGAAAGGGAAGTTGATGAAGAAGCTGTTGTCAACGAAGCCAACAGGGTACTTGAAGGAAACTAGAGTTCTCCACGTGAATGCAGCAGATGGGTTCATTGGGGCATTGATAACGAGGCCTGAAACCCCAGAGTTGGTGGTACCCAAAGAAGTGGAAAAAGAAAAGGTTAAAGATTGTAGCTTTGTTGCTGATCAAGAACCTGATGTTATTGATGTAAATGAGCTTATGAAAGATCTTGAAGAAGAGGAAGAGGGGGAGGAGGAGGGAATGGAAATGGAGGTTGATGAAGACAAGGAAAATGTTAGGCCAGTAGTGAAGGCAAGAGTGGGTCTTTTTGGGGTTAAAGATAAGGTGGAGTCAAAAGGGTCTCAATTTAGGCAAATCCCTTTGTCAGAGATTGATATCTCATCTTTCCAGCGACCGGATTTGAATTCTGATGGCCTTTTTTACCCGAATTTATCGACTGCCTTTGAAAAAGCAGCGAAAGATCACATGGGAGTGGGTGGAGAAGAGAGAAGAGAAAGTATCGACGGGGAGAATCTTGAAAGAATAAGGGAAGCACAAACACAGGCAAGAACTCAGCAAGAAAATGTTGAAAAGAGCCGAGAAGCGGAGAGGAATCTTGAAGACAAGGAAGAAGAGCCACCCTTAAAAGCTCGTCGAATCGAAGACGATGATGATACAGGTGACCCTATATTAGGCTTCCCAGAGAAGTGTCCACCAGGAGGCAGTGACTCAGTAATTCTCTACACAACAACACTTAGAGGGATAAGAAAAACTTTTGAGGATTGTAACAGCATTCGCTTTCTTTTAGAGAGTTTTCAGGTACTTTTTTTTGAGAGAGATGTGTCAATGCACATGGAGTTTAAGGAGGAGTTATGGAGGATTTTGGATGGCAAGGTGAACCCTCCAAGGCTTTTCATCAAGGGGAGATACATAGGAGGTTCTGAGGAGGTTTTGGGTTTGCATGAGCAAGGCTGGTTTAGAGTGCTCTTTGAAGGGATCCCAATTGACAGATTCATTGGCTCACCATGTGAAGGATGTGCTGGTGTTAGGTTTGTTCTCTGTTTCAATTGCAGTGGCAGCCATAAGGTTGTCGCCGAAAATGGGTTGTCAAATATATGCCAGGATTGCAATGAGAATGGTCTGATAACCTGTCCCCTTTGCTGTTGAAGATAATTGTATTGAATTTGTCCCTTGTGTATCACTTACATATTTTTTTCATTATCTTTCGAGGCTTGTTTGGAGGATTCTTTTAATACTTTTTGTAATGCCCGTGGAAGAATATGGAATCTTTGGGTGTTTTAATGTACTAGTTTGTGAATTGGAATCTGTTTTTCCATATTCACCCCTGTAAAATAAAAAGAGAATACGCATGTTATACCTTTCTAAGAAGCTTATAATCATTTTCTTGTCAGCATTCTTTGTGAATTATGGGTATCTTGATGAACTACTATAGTAGCAACTGAGCCATTTAGATGTCATAAGCATAAAAGTTTTTGAGTTTATTTCTCACCCCATTTTCAAGCATCAAAACCAAGTTGTCAAGAAAAGCAGCTCCATGAGTTAAACACTTCGATGATGTGCCAAGACTGTTTTTTAGATCATGATCATCAAGTGAAATGGATCTTTATGATTACATCCATTACACAACCTGGCAAAAAACACAGAACTTTGTATTGAGAAAGAGATAAAGGTGAAACTAATATTCTTCCTGCCTAGCATACAAAGCATATATCAGATTGGTGCTCTTGGCCATATATTAAATGCCTCCCAAGATTTTTCAACGGCCCAGATAGAGGAAAGGCATGATGCACCGTATGCAAGCCAACTCTAGGTAATTAAGACTTCTCACATGCTCATGTCCTGCGCTCTCTCTTCAATTATCTAACAAAGACATGTAAGAGCTCACACAACAAAACATCAAATGCAACATTCAAAAGGCCAGCAGCAACAAAGGACAGTTTCCACGACCAGAACCATGTGGAATACGCACAAATTCCAGCATTCAGCATCTAACGCCAGCACACACCCTCCAAAATCTCTCAAGCACTACCAATTCGGTGCTCAGTTGTTTCACCACCATTTTCTGTCCACATGCCTTTACCCGAACTGATGTCTCACTGCAACCAATCAAGTGATGCCACAAATTATGACACCAACTGCAACATAGCTATAGCCTTGGGATAGACTTGAAATTCACTTCCGAGATGAACCTTACACTGTTAGCTTCTCAACTACTCCAAAGACTACTCTTTCCTCGAGCTTTTAAGAGGAAGCATTATGAGCCTGGAGACGTATTTAATTAAATGGTGTTTAAAGTTGCATTAGTTCACAGTTGAAAGAAAGATATCCTATAACATAATCTAACAGATAAGAACACCAAGTAAACACAGGCAGGCAGGCAGGTAGCATGAGAACTTGACAAGTCCCTTGCTTGTGCATCTGACACAACGTTATATAAATCCAAAAATCAGCACTTCCAGAAACTGGAAAAGCAATGTCTTGTATTATAAATGTCGGCTGAAAATATATATGAAGTAATGCTGGTAAAAGTAGCCCTTCCCTTGACCAAGCCAAAAGTTTTCATCTCAGCATTCCTTGAAACAATGCGAAATTCTAATTCAGCAATGCAGCACTAGCTGGACTTTATTATTAAACTACAAAAACCTTCACCAGAAGGAAAAGAAGGACAATGAAATGTGCACCTCAATAGTTCACATTCTTGCGTTTATTCCATTCCAGTTTGATGGGTCTCTAAGAGATGAAGCAGAACTTCCTTCACCCGCAATGCCTTTTGATGGTGCACTTCCACTAGTAGATTGAGAACAAAGGTACGATACTGACTGCAGCCATGAAACTAATGTTGGCTTGCGTGTAACATCATCAGATTCAGCAACCTGTGCATATAACTCATTTAGAACCACATTCTGTCCTTCTTTTGGTAACTCAACAAATAGCTGCGCCAACAACTTCATCAAGTCTGGCAGTACCTGAAACCAAGAAAACGATAACATCATCAATGCCCAAAGGTCAGAACATGGATGCACAGCAAAGCACACTATTTAATTTAACAAATGTTCTAAATTGATATCAGACACAAAGGAACATGTAAAGTGTAACGAAAAGACCACCACTTACTTGTATATCAACAAGGGAAATAAGCCGTAAAAGCAATTCTAAGATTTTCTTACAAGGCTCTGATTCCCCTTCCCAATTTTTCCACATATCAGGCTTTTGGGTGGCAATATCAGTGCAGAGCTTGCTTGCTTTTTCAACGAGACTGTGGATACAATAAAATGTTGCTGGACTTCCAGCAGGAAGATTTCGAACCAAGGCTGCAACTCCAGAAGCCATACCCTCAAAAGGAGTGATACCAGGAAATCCCTACATCCATACAAAAGGAAAAAGCTAGAGCCTTGGTTTTCTTTAACAACGAAATCATGTTCATGTTTAACCAATTTGGTGTTTAACTGCTTAACATACTGCTAAAGATCTCTGCATGTAGTAGAAAACAAGTTGCTCCTTCAGTAATGATCTTTCATTCTCATTAGAGTCCTTCCCCGAGGATATGAATGCAGCAAACATAGAATGCGAAGCTCGAGCTACTTTTCCATTTGGATGTCCCATATATCTAATCGCAATTGTAATAAGGAACACACTACATAAGAAACAAGCTCCCTAATGAATCTAATTAGTTGTTAAATGTAGGATACAAGAACATTGTTGGGGCAACAACTCTGCTAAAAACAGATCCGGGCAAACGTTCAATGCAAGTCGGAATAACCCGCAGGTAAAACAAAACGCGGGCGGTCTGCACTTCATCCTTGAACCATATGTAGTCCACTTTCTGCTGGAATTCTACAAAGACATTAAGAGAAAATTGCAAATCTTGTGAACAAGCAACAATTTTTTGAGTGAAATGAGTAGAACCATTATGAGACCTAATTTATCATGTTAAAAGACTGAAATGAAAATTCAAAGAACACATACCTTGAGGATTTGTCAGATCAACATAAGTGGGCATAGACTCTACAAATGAGACACACGCAGTCTCATTCTCCTGTGCACTCACAACAACCCCTCGTATTGTATCCATATATTCTGACAAACGCATACGCCGGAAATACTCTAAACAGGAGAATGAAACTAGTATCAAGACAGATGTCTCCATCTGACTTTCAGTTGAGAATTTTGAATTCAGTTTCTGCTTTGTAACAGCCAATGCAAACACCACGACCATAAGGAAAGCAGACTCAGCAATTTTCTCTACATCTTCAAGCAACTCATCTGTTTTCCCATGTAGCAAGAAAGCCACCTTCCGATGCCCTGAGTAGAGTTCTTGGCAGAATCGCCATATCATATTTTCCACTATCATCTTGTTCTCGTCGTCTGCTGAAATGTATTGACTGCAGAAAACACTGCTAATTGCCCCCGCTTCCTTAAAAGTGACACTGCTTAGATGTTCTTTAATCTTGCCAGGCTCGAGTCCCCCTGAACTTCCATGTGTTGACTCAAGAATCCTTGCATGTAGATGCCGCAAAGGAAATATCTCAGTTAATAATGCTGAAGCAAGGGATAGAAGCAGAGGAGGCCGGGAAGACACTGAACCACTTCGAGCCAAAGCTAATGAAATGCACTGAAGCAAAATACTGGTTGCATAATCATCACCTGAATTATCATAGTCTCTACTTTTAGAAATAAAATATTGTGCCACTGACTCAATCCTATTTTCAGCAGAAATCCTTAGGCTGGAAAGGATCTGCAATCCCTGTTGACTTGGTGCAGATCTATTCAATGCTCTCAGAACACCAGCAGCAGCCATGACAACAGCAAATGGAACATGGTCTTTCCTCGAAGTGTCTAAAGTCTCTTTAGAAAATATTTGCAATTTATCTTGTGAACGTGACTTGATGAAACTAGACATTACCCATTCAACCAAATGTAAAATCATGAGCCCATGAGAAACACTACCAGGCGGTCCATCTTCCCTTCCCCAGATCCCCAGCAATGCATTCAAAGTTCTAGCATAATAAACAATCACAGAAGAACATAAAGCATACCCAATACCTGCAAGAACATCTGGAATGAACCCACCAAATGGACTAACCAGTCTGTACTCATCCTCCAATAACCTACAGAGCAACTCCAAGCAGACTGTTTTAGAGGATTCTGAAACAGAAGGCACAGAAGAAAAGGCACCCAGTAGCAGTACAGCCTCTGAGAAAAACTCAGGGCTCTTCTTAGAAACCAATTCAGTAGCTAAAAGGTGAGACAGTGTCTCCACAGCCGAATCAATGAGTGCAGAAGAGGGTCTAAAGGACTTTCTGACCCAGATATAAAGAAGCCGGAGAAGGAGAGGATATGCCTCAAGAGGAATGACGAGGTTTGTGGAGGATAAAATTGAAACTAGAAGCTTCGCTTGGGGTTCAGCGACATGAAGGGATGTGCGAGCATCAAGAAGAATTTTCAAAGACTGAAAATGATGGGGCTCAAATGATTGGTGTTGATGGCAGTCTCTAAGCTCAGCCCATGCTTGAATGATGGCACGGGCAGACGTTGAAGAAGATTGGTCTGCAGAAGTGTTGCTGCTGCTACCACTACTGATCCTCAGCCATTCTTCAAGGAAAAGTGTATTGGCCTGTCTGGCCATCTTACCATTCCAAACTGCAAAAACCAGTTAAGTAACCCTTATTCAGATACACAAACCAAAGTCAACACCCTTTTGACATTGCCTATCTATATATCCATGCAAAAACAACATTGCGTTAAGTTAACCTATATCCATCAAAACCCTGTTTAAGACATGTGAAAATGGCCACAAAATGCACTAATTAGCATGTTTAGGACCTATTAGACCAACAAGCTCTAACATACAAGAACCCACCATCAAAACTTATTATCCTAATGAAAAACTTCCAATGGAAGCTACCAATTCGCTTCCAACATCAAATTTGAATAGCAGAAAATCATGTAGGAGCACACGTGTGAAAAAGAAGTGATCTTTAAACAACAGTCCAAAACCCAATAAAATATTTGCTTCAAAGTTAAAAAAACAAAACCGACAATGAAAATACATGAAAAAAGAAATGAACTTTACACAAAATCAATTTCAGAATCAATCAAGATCATTGACTTCAAGTTAACTGAGACAATATATGGAGAATAAAAGCAAAACAAGGAAAACCTATCTTGGAAAAAGAAGAGAAAAATGTTACCTTGGCGGTTCTTAATTTGAGAAACGAGTGCTCAAAATTGTTGAAAGACAAAACCCATTAAGCATCTTCTCTCTGTCTTCAGAAAAAGAAACTGGAATTCAAGTTCAAGAGCATGAAGCTGTGTAGTTTTAATGGACTGGTTGTTGCCTTCAAAGTCAGCAATCCTTACAATCCCACCTCCCAATGAAGGGAAAACATCGCGTGTATAATGAGTGGTGGCAAACTTTACTTTCGTCCCTGTATACGTAACGGTATCTTAATTATATCCTTTTATTTTAAGTTATTTCAATGTTACTCCTATAGTAAACAAAAGGTTTCAATTCACGCTTTGACTAAAGTTCACATTTTTCTTATTTTTCTCTCAATTTTCCCTCCTATTTAGTCCTTTTAAATGTTTTAATATATCACAAAAAAATAAAAATAAATAAAAATTGGGCTAATGTTTTGTTAGAGGCAACAACATTTAGATTTTTAAGAGCTGCGGGGGTAATATTAAAAACCTTTGAACGTAAGGGGTGGAACCTGGAAGTGTAACATTTGATGTTAGGGGTAAAATTATTCCTTAACCAAACCAGCGGGCTGCAGTTCCATTCCATTATGGCTCAAAGGCCTATAGAGAGATGGAGGAAGTGGCCCAGATAAAAGCCAGTTCACCCCTGATTAAGCCCGACAAAAAATAGTCATGTCATATGTTCTGTAAAACTTATTTTAGTTCAATAAATCCAATAAATATATTCTTACAATAAACAATTTTTTTAGCTAAAACTAATAAAATTACTCATGATTTATAGTTAAAAAAATATAAACTAGTTAGTTTAAAGTGAAAAATTATTACATATTATAAATAAACATAATAAATATTTTTAAAAAAAATATGAAGCAAATACATTTATAACAGAAGATTCAATACTAAATTGTGATAAATGTAAAATAAATAAATTTTCACCTCTTAGTATCTATCCATGGAAAACAAGCATTAAAAACAAAAAATAATAATAATAATTTTAGCTTGGACCCCCCCCTCCCCTCCTAGCTTTTCATTCACTAAATTAATTTTATGAAATTATTCATCAATATCTACTTTTATAAGAAAATGTAAATATAACTCACAAGTTTTAATTAAAAGTTAAAACTTTATTTTTAACAAAAAAAAATTAAAAAAACTTATTATATAAAATTTAATTTCGCTTACACAGTTTAGCAGCAGTGCCTGGCCATAGTAGTATAGTACTGAGTAACCCTTCTCTTCTGTTTTTTTGCATCCTCACCACTCTCTCTGCTCGCATTAATATCCCTTCCAAACCCCAACCCTGCTGCTCCACATCTCCTTCATCCCTCTCAAACAACTCCAGGTTTTGTCTTCTTACAAGTATTATGAGAAGAAGTGTCCTCCTCGTTCAGCACTTAGATTCGTTGTACACTTCTTCTTTTTTGCGGGGTTTTCTGTTGCGGTTATAGTTTCAGGAATCAAGTGAAGAAAATGGAGGAGGGTCATCATGATCTTTCAAAGGTTACAGTGGCTGGTGATCCTCAGTTACTCCAAAACAAAGTTAATGCAGTTGATTTGGCTGGTCCTGCTAAACTTCAGGTCTTTCCTTTCTTTATCTTGTAATCTTTTTTCGGGTTCCTTTGTGTTAGTATCTTGATTTTTGAGTTTAATAAAGAACCCCTTTGGTTTCTTGATTTTGTTTATTGGAATCAAGAGATTTTTTTGTCATGGTGATGTGATGATGATTTATGTTTTTCTCTTAATAATCGACAAAGACGGTCTTTTAATATTTTTTTGGCTGTTAATGACCTTAAATAAGGTGATAGCAGATTTTGATGGAACATTAACCAAATATTTTGTGAATGGTCGTCGAGGGCAAAGTATGCAACAGTCTTAATTATGGTTCTTCAGTTTGTGTGAGCAAAAAAACCGTAAGAAAGTTTGGTTTTTTGAGTTTCGTGTGATGGAAATTTGTAGGCAGTCACGGAATTTTGAGGCAGGGAAATGCAGACTATGATAATAAAAGACAGGCATTGTACGAATATTATCAAATCTTGCAGGAGGATCTCTTACTTGTAATAAGAGGCTGGGGAGAGAATAGAGAGAGTGATGCAGAGAGATAGTTTATGAAAAACTGCCCCCTCATTTATGGTGGCTACTGCAAATTTTAATGTAAATTTGTTTCTTTCAGGATGATGCACTATGTGGGGGGGTAGTCAAGCTTGTTTCCCAGATGTGCTCAACAGTCAACTGAAGGGGCTTGCTTTCTACATCAACAAATTCTTTAGCTCATCCCTGGCTTTGACCAAGTGGAGATGTGAACTAGACTTAACCCTAACTCATGATATTCTTTCTTCTCAATGTGCCATTCAAAGTAAGTCATGGATTGTCATTTCCCAGAGCAAGGATGCTGGCAAAAGATGCTCATTATTTTGCTAGAATGGTCGGGATTCAAGATAAAATATTTGAAGTTTCATTGGATCCGAAAGCAATTAGATCTTGTATGATGCTAAGAATCTACGTATTCAAGACCGATGGTTATTTATGCCATCCTTTATTTAAGTCCATTTTATCTTCTCCTTTATCATGTTGCTCATTATTTTGCTAGAATGGTCGGGATTCAAGATAAAATATTTGTAGTTTCATTGGATCCGAAAGCAATTAGATCTTGTATGCTGCTAAGAATCTACGTATTCAAGACCGATGGTTATTTATACCATCCTTTATTTAAGTCCAGTTTATCTTCTCCTTTATCATGTTCATGGCAAGCATTCATTTCCTGCACTTCCATCTTGTTCCTCCAACTGCCAGTTTCATATCCCAAGTGAGCAACGCGGCCCCAACCCATTAAATGTGGGTAGTGAAAGATATTCTGCTATTTATACTTAAGTTTCCCCAGGAAGTGACTATACTTCGCTGACAGTCTTAAATTTTCTATACTTCAGGAATACCAATGATCTACCAGATAAGTTAGAAATCGTATCTTGAAGGTCATGAAGATTTTCTCTATTCCAGTCAGGACTAGCTTATAGGTTGGAAACCATCACCTCCAGTCCAGTGTTAAAATATGCATACCTATCTCATTTTGAATGTTGTAGTTGCCTTAAAATCCAATGGAAAGCAAATAAATCGCAGATGCAAGTGAAAAGTCCCAAGCCCTAATTAAGTTTGAAGGGAAATTTGAAGGCCAGAAGGCTCAGTTCTCATGTGATGATGGGAGTTCAATTGTTTTGTTCCCAGTCAACAGCGTGCCTTTCAATGCCACAACACAGGAAGTAGAAAAGGTTTTAGATAAACAAAAACTTTACCAAGGAACAAAGTTATAAATCCTTTGTTATTTTCTATGCATTCATCAAAATTTGTCAGGAAATTTGACTGTCAATGGCACACCATTTCCAGAGAGAAATTAAATACAAAATGAATCCTCAAGTTCCCAGAGTGCACTATGTAAGCACCATCCTTTTCTTGTTTTGGAACAACAAAGAGATAGTAGACTCTAAATCTCGCACTGTTAAAAAGCTATTGGTCCGATACAAGGACAAAATGTCTGGCATCAGTAAGTCATCGGGTTTAACTGCTGGTGGTGGTGATGCTAGCAAAGCTCCTTCCAGTGGTGCTACTAGCCCTGTTTCGGTCTCTGGCTCGGTAAAAGATGCGACCATGAAAGCTCCTGGTCAAGATGTTCGCATATCTAGGGATGCTTTCGAGAAAAACCCTGCTGGGTATTTTCATGACTGGCACAAGAAGTAGAAGATGAAAGAATAAATAAAATGTTGCTTTAGTTGTATTTTCTTCGAATGCTAATGAAATTTAAAATGCTGCACTAGCAACAGTTATTTCGGGTGCCTAACCTCTCTCTTTAACTATTCTTCATGAGCATTTGAAAGTTAATTTCAGCAATCATATGTTTACATTGCTTAGCTTAACTAACCGTTCGTCAATAGGGAAAAAATAGAATTGAAGAAGACCAATGATAATTGATGCCATCCTTTTTTTTAGCCAACCCTGACTTCCTTTATCAATATTCTTATTTCTTACCAGGCACACGTCATAAAAAAAATGTCATTTTAAAGAATTACCAGTAAATTGTTTTTATGTGGCAATGAAAACTGAGTGAATGAAAACCAGAAATAATGACAAGACAGGTATTTACATTTCATGCTGTAAGGGCAAACTGAAATTCTGCCGAGAACATGTTACAGAAGAATTGTAACAGTTCTCATGGCACACGTTTTCACGAATGAAAACTAGTCAAAGCTAGGTGGTATCAAAGTAAAATGCTAAAATGTAAGAAATCCTGACAAATTAGGTTTCATATAGTCAAAACTAGGTATTTATAATATGGATAGATTATGAAATTATAATTCCATTACAGAGATAAAGGCAAGACAAGGCAAGGAAGCACATCTAAAATATGATTTGAATTTCATCGCTTGATTACAGTTTATAAGGATAAGAAAAAATCCAGAGAGTCAAAGCACATAGAATCAGGACTACCGGGATGAGGTGAACGGTATTCTCTCCCATGGACTTGTGATGCCAAGCAAGATCCTTCTTGGTCACATCAGATATGGGATCATGGGTTGGTAACTCTGAGTAAGCTGTATTTTTCAGAGGGGATGCATCGGCAGCTGGTGCCAGGCTTATCAAGAACTCATCAGAGGCCCGAGTTCCACTCGCTGACCTATGCATTCTAGTAGAGAGAGAGAGGGAGAGAGAAACAACTGTGTTGAATACAAGAGAAGAAGGGATATGCTTCAAGAGAAGAGTCCACGGATGCTATATAATGGGAAATGAGCAAGAATAAATGGTGAATCTCGCCGGGAAAGCTGAAAAAGCCACGATACAAGGAGCCACTTTTCTTGTGAAAGAGAAGTCAAAGAGCTAAGGTGTCAGCTTAAGTTATGCTTCCACTGTAATTAAAGGCATCGTGTGCACGTGAAATAAAGTTTAAAATAAGGAAAGTTTCATGTGACTTTATGCATGGAAATTTTACTATTATCTACATTAAACTTATCACCTGAATGTGAAAATACGAATAGGTAGATTCTTGCATTCTTCGTCCGAAAACTACAGGTGGAATATACAAAGACTCAAAAACAAATCACTAAATGGCAGTATCAGCATTATTATTGCTTAAACAACATACATTGCAAGAGGGGATGGGGTTAGAATAATCACAGGTATAGAAAATTGTAGGAGCTCAACTCCATGGGAGGGAGGTATTCAATGCGATGACAGCTAATACAATGCTGGTGCATCAGCAAATTGTTACATCTCTTGATGAATTTTCATCTACAGGTTGTGTCAGCTGGGTGTAGTGGAACTCAATTTGAAGCCGATGATGAAGGGGTGTTGATGCCATCAAACCCTTCTTGGTATCAGCCCGCAATTCCCTTATAGGGATTGCAGCCAAGAAGCTCTTAATATACTCCTTGCATGACTCCTTTCCTTTGCACACAATTTCTTCTTCCATCGGAGTCTTTTCGCCTTCATTTGGACTTGATGGCGACCTCCTTTCAGCCCGAGTTTTTTCCTTGGAGCTGCTTGGTTGCACTTTGTTGCCCGCAGTTTTTTCATCTGATTCTTTAGTTTCCATTGGTAGTTTCCGGATTGTTGTATCTTTGTCAAATTTTAGGACATAGGCTTGATTACATCCCTCGTAAAGCCTCTCACCCAATGTGTCAATGATATAGTAGGCATCCTGCTCAACCTTGAGGACAAAGAAGTGGTCATTCCAACTTACAATGTAGATGAAAGGATCGCAAATACTAGACAAGTCTAACCCGTGATGATTAATCTCCTGCCAAATACTGTCAAAGGACATTGCACCATGAAGGAAGTCAAAATCCCCTTCTTCTAGGCCTTCTGGATGAAAGAACCCAATAAACGACTTTTCTGGGACTACTGAAAGAGGACGGATTTTAGCTTGGAGAATTGTCTCAAGATCGAAGTGCTTGTCGGGAAATCGTTGTCTATAGTCCTCTTTCTCACACAAGTTTCTCCACTCTAGAGATCCAACTCTGATCAAGCTGTCAAACTCAGACTTGATTGGCACTTCGTATTGGTTAGATTGCAACCAATTAGCAATGACAGCAACCAGGGCTGTACAGGCACTATCTCCTGCCGCTAGCTCACTCCTTCGATCAATTGAAGCAAAAACAGACTTGCGCTTGGAGCTTCACGTGTCCATCACGGCTTATTACTTCTTTTGCCTCCCAGCTGCCAACGGCAAATTTGTCATCCCCAAATTCAGAGAATGATGATCTACTAGTAGTGGAACCTTCTTCCAATTTATTCCACTGCCAGAACCAAAAATAGTTTTAGAGTGAAGTTTGAACTCGTATAACTATATTAAGAGGAAAGCCCAAGAAAGAAGATGCCAAATAAAGAAACAGAGGGAGATGGGGAGGGGGGGAGAGCAAAAGGGTTGATACGTACCCCAGAACTGGACTCATCAGAGGAGCTAAGCTGCCTGCGATCAAAATCAATGTCATCACCACCTTCTCCACAATCCTTTTTCAAGAGAGGCTCTCCTTTAGATTTAGGCTTTGCAGATATAAAACTTAGTTTCCTTTTCCTCCAAGCTAGGATTCCACGTATTGAACTCTGTCTCAAAGACTGTTCATGGTCTGATGCAGTTGAGGACTCAACATACAGAGATCCCATATCTCGGTGGTTATAGTATATCCAACTCTCATCTTCAGCATTAGTTATGGCATTAGAGTAAAATGATCCTCCAGCCTTGTTTGCATGCCCCAAAGTTTCATAATTGAATGGTAACTGAGCACTAGAATCCCCATTACTCTCCTCTGATTCCCCATCATTGTCGAGTGAATCTGTATCAAATGGATAGTTGTCCTCGGCATCTTCACTTCTGACACAACTCCTATCATGACAAGCCTTTTTTGTCACTTGGAAGCTTTTCACTTTTCTCAGACCTGCTTTAAGGACAGAAAGCTCATCTCTCCTTGGTGATAGAGTTTCTAGAGAAGAGGGTGAGGGTGGGGCAGTCTCTATCACTCTCTGTGGTGCCTGTAGAGGTTCTTGAATAGTTCTCAATTCCATCAACTTGAGAGACAACTGCATTATATTTGAACTAGTGTCAGAAATGAAACAGCCATTAGCATAGGAGACGGTTAATGACAGATGTTCTTCGTATTGAAAGGAATGGACTTACATTAAGCAAGGGAGTGCCCTCAACAGTGCCATTGTGAACTGTTAAAGGAACATCGATTTTGGCTTCTCTCTCCTTAGCTGTTGAAGCATATTCCGCGAGGTTTAATGTAGCAGTTCCAACTAAAATAACCTTATTCCTTGGCCCTTGTTTCAAGCCCTGAACCATTGGAAACAAAACTGTCTTATTGTCAAATCAATACTGAGAGATTATTAATATATCAGTCGCTAAAGGACCCGTAGCATAAACAGAACAAATTGAGAAAACACTCTAGGAATAAGCCATTTGACATGATCAAGCATGATAATAACTTCCACTATGTGTGAAGCCAATCACTTCAAAATAATCACCAAACATATAAACCAAAAAAGAAGGCCTCAGAAGTCTTGGAATATAAAGCTACAGGT